CTGCACCCGGTTTTCCAGCGGGTCACATATCGTCACACTATCGTCACCACATCACCGAGTCGTCGAGTCGTCACTCACTCCATTCCTTGGAGCCAATCACAGGCAGATTGAGGCTGCACCTGGCGCCAGACGAAGGGCCAAAGATGGCCAAAGATGGCCAAAGGGCCCTTCATGTTTTTTCGATTTCCAAGATATTCCAAGATATTCCAAGTTGCCACATCAATATCACAGAAATTCAATTAAAAAGTTGTCATAAGTCATATTTAACATAACTCACTTCCACTATCTTCCACTTCTATTATCTTAGAGTTTTTTCATGTCGAATCAAGGGCTAGCCGGATCCACTGCAATGTCAGTGACACTCCACCAACATCCACCGCCACCTGCAATTGACAAGGCAAGAAAGTGTTGCACTGTGTTGCACTGTGTATGAAGGCATTGAAACGCCTCTTCCCAGGCGATACGGGCACATCAAATTATCACATATTATCACCAAGCATTGTGCAATATTGTGCACATCTGGCAAAACCAAACTTGTCTGACAAAAGCCAAAACATCAAAATACATCAAAATACTGAAACTCGTCAAACTGCGCCAAAGAGTTGCACGAAATGCACGACACAACACGATGTTTTTGTGTGCTTCCATGCCTTGGTGCTGGCCATGAAACCGCTGCTCCCAGTGGAGAATTGCTTCGGTTCAGCCTGCGCACATCGCACATTGCACTGCTCTCACTAAGCTTGTCATACTATTTTTTTTACATGTTTTCCTTACATGTAAGAAAACATCTAAATAATTCTCGCCAAGTCCTCACTAGGTCTCATCTGTAGATAGCTCTCTCCCTCTCTCTGTCTCCATCGCGCGCTCCATCGTTCGTGTTCATCTATGCTCATAGATGTTCATAGGTTTTCCGTTTTGAGGTGCATGGGTAATTCCTCTTGGGCGAACCCAGTGGGAACCATAGACACAAAATGACACATAGAAGCGACAGAGACATGCAGGACTATAAGAACTGACTGAAGGTGCGTAGCAATTTTGCCGCACTGGCCATTTGCACGGAATTCTTTTGGAAGAGGCAAGCAACGTGGAATTGACAAGGAACCGTGTTGTCTGATGGTTTTGAAACTTTGCGAGAAGGAGGCTGTGTGGGCGTACAATGTCGTTGAGTCCAGGTATGTCCAGGTTGTGTTATCATGTCTTGTCATGTCTTGTCATGTCTTGTCTACAAATCCCCTTGCGATATCTTACAGTAACGATTTTCAAGGGTCTTTGGAAGTCCGCTTTTCGCCTTCGAACGGGCATGGGTATTGATCTTGCCTTTATCATCTTTGCACAATCTTTATATATCTTTATATTACATTGGAGCGGAATTGTGATGGAATTTGAGACCTACGGCAGTAGTACGCGCTTTTCAGTACCATGAATTTAAAGTCCTAAAGGGATCTAAATAGGTTGGAATGTAATACCACCGCAACGATTGTTTTACCAGGGGTGGGAGTTTAAGAGTTTAAGGACCTAGTACGCCCTAGCGAGGGACGAGTCCTCTATTCCAACTCTTTCTTAATACATTGACAGTCATTGACAGTTCTCTTGGACTTGAGGCCTTGAGCTTCTTGTCTCCAATTTGGACCTTGTCACAACGATTGTTGAAAGATTGTGTCATGTGTGCCATGGTCTCTCTCCGCTTCGGCCCTTCAAATCCCTTCAACGGCTTCCCGAGCTGAGCCCGAGCGACGGTGATCGCTTTGGCTTTCTTCATGAACTCCTGTATAATCTGTACACAATGGAGCACGCATGAGCACGCTATGGCACGATTCCACACCATGTCAGGCAGTGTCAGGTATGCGTGCGCTCCAACATTTTGTTTGATGTAAGACTTAATCTACAATTCAGAAGTGCCCTGCGTCGAATCTCAGCAAGTCTCTATCCTTTCGCGTCATAGAAGAACTCTGGCCTAGGTGTGTCGAGCACTTCAACTCGCAGCTTAGCAGTTCTCCGTCCATGGCAGCATCCTTCGAATGGAAATCGCTCAGTTCAAGGCGCTCTTTTGTGCTAGGTCCTTTATCGCAATGGGCAAATCCACACGGCATCAAGGAATCATTGGATTGTTGGAACTTGTTGCGCAGCTTGGCTGAGCAACAGCTGTGAGCGACATGAGCGCTTTACGATCCGGAGAGTCGTACAGTCTGTAGAGTTTGACACTGACAACATGTGGCAACATGTGACAACAATGATGCGGCCAGCATGTCTGAACATCTCAGCAAAACCTGTCAGCGAACGCATCTAGGGAAAATTGCAAGACAAGTGTTGCTGACTGAGCCTTATGACATATCCAATGATATTGCAATGCATGACATGTTCGACTTCGATGGTGTCCTTTCGCTTTGCCTTTGCCATTTTTACCATCTTTGGCCTCTTTGGAACCTTTGGCATCTTTGCCTGTCGCAGACTAACACAGCTTCGCAAAACATAGCTTCCACGTGCCGAGTGGTGCTGGAGGTGGCATCTCATCTCACAGCTCCCACCTTCTCCACGGCCATCCTGCCATTACCATCCACCACTATCCAAATCCATTCATATACAATATACATGCATATGTATATAATAATATACTCATATGTATGTATAAATATATATATGTATAAATAAATATATATATATATATTAATCAAATATCTCTCAACATATCTCGCCCATATCTTTCATTCTCTCATGCTAACGCTTCTTAAACACAGCGTGTTTTCATGTAGTATTTTGTTTCCATGTTCCAATTCAACATCGTCTCTGTATATTTATCCCTTGACTACTGTCTCGAGGATAGCCAAACCACTTGAAAACACTGCCAGAGGATGCATCACGATACCAAAAGGGACCAATTAGATCTAATCAGACTAGACACCATACACAAAGTCAGCAGGGATTTGCCAAAGGAATGCTATGACTGATAACGACTGCATTTGGCAGTAGCTGGAAATGAGTTTGAGTTTGTCTCCCAGCTGGGAGAAGAAATGAGAAAATATATGAGAAACGTCATGCCATATCTATTTTGGAGTCAGGTGGTTTGGAGTTGTTTGATGTTGTTTGCGCGTTTTGTCTGTGGCACCACAGCGCCTGGGCTCGACGCTTCGGACGCTTTGGCTGCGGCTGCTCAGATTCTTCAGGCTCAGCTGCTTCAGCTGCTTCAGCTGCTTCCGCTGCTTCGGCTGCCTCAGCTTCAGACGCCTCACGAGATGGCCGGTTGCGGCAAGAGATTCATGACATGGCATCGGCTTGCTTTGCCTCACTGGAAGCACCAAGTCTTCAGATGGAAGAATGAAGCGTAGTGAAACTAAATTCGAAGCACTGGGGCTGCATGGCATTCTCACTCACTAAGACACCATTCAGACGATCGTAGATGAACCACATCAACTACAGATCAAGCATCTAAAATTATCAGAATGCACTTGGTGGAATAGAATGGGACAAATGCAGCGCCTGCGTTTCATCCCCTGCAGAGGCTGAAGGCGCTGGAAGGCCCTGGAGGTCAAAAGAATTTAAAGAAAAAGTGACTTTGGATGATTTTGGATGACTTTGGAATGCCCTGTGATCCTGTCATCGTGATCATTAAAAGTGTGTGATGAATTTTCACACTTCATCAATTTTCATCAGATTCTTCATTGATCTTGATAGATCTTCGATGATCTTCGTGTCCATGCTGTGTCATGTTTGTCATGCTGTGTCATGTAACATTCGGTCGCCTGAAGTCTGACCACGTGAGCATGCACCAAGGATTTCACCGAATCCTTTTTGCTGTCCAGCTCTCCAGGACCTACAAAAATTCACAGAGTAAGCAAATGTGTAAGCAAATGTGTAAGCTTACTAAGTAAGCATACAAACATACACACCAAATAACACACAAGTGACGAACAAGCTGTGGAAGCGTTGGCTCCAAGTGCTTCCAAGTGCTCGGCTTAAATTGAGCCTTTTTTCAATTTCCTCTCGAACCTGGCAACAGAACTGTCTTCTCTGACATTCTTCGCACGTCCGAACTACAGAGTCATTACAGAGTCTAAGTGTTCTAAGTGCCCTTTATGATCCTTTATGATCCTTTATGATCCTTTTATACATTCTTTATGCCCCTCCATGCCCCTCCATGCCCCTCCTCTCTCAAAGATGTAGAGGCGAGATCTTTGTTCACCAAGACGGCGGAGATGTGTTCTTCAAGAACTTCATCCGTGATCGGTGCACCCAGCATTGCGCAGAGCTCGACGTAGTGATGCGTTGGAAGCGAAAATTGAGGTTGACCCAAATGCCACATGCCATGCGCATCTAACTGCACTCCTACGTATATACATGATATATTTATTATCTATTAAATAATGTGTATATATACATGCATATGTAATACAATTATATATATACTGTATGCATGAATGTGGATGTGTGTGTGTGCGTGTTTGTTATGTAATGTAGTTATAATATGTTATAATAAATTGTGTGCATGTGTATCTCTATCTACAATTATGCATATCATACAGATCCAAACTTGAAAGATGAAGAGCACATGCCGTGTCAGGCTGTCAGGCAAGTTCAGATGGATTCAGTTGGCAGGTCTTGCAGCCGGGCTATTTGTTGCTCCAGAGCTTGAACATCTCGTTTTCTCAGCAGAGAAACATATCCGAACTGCCACGTGGAATCAACATCTCCATTGTATGGTACGTACACCCAGTGCATGGAGATCGCTCAACGGACCTTTTGACGCAATCCAAACAGGGTTGCCGTCCCCTGAGCATTAGCCAAATCGCACGTCACTTCTGATGTGCTCGTGACATGCTGTGACGCGTGGCCACCATGTGTGGCCACCATGTGCCAACCTGAATTGTCATGGCAACTTTGTGCCAAGTCCCGAGTTTCCATGACTGGAACTGTCCCTCTTTGTGCGAAATACAATGAAATACATCTATAATTATAAGTGAACAAGTTTCATCAAATTTCGGTCTCTATGGTCTCTACTTCTGTCAGTTCAAATGTATTTAAATGTCAATTTGGAAACTGAAGCACCCGCGGTGACACTGGCGGGATTGGATTCCCCAACTGCTTCAATTGAGGCAAGTCAGGCTTTAAAGACAACGAGATCCCGGGGGGTGGAGGAAGTCCCCCCAGACCAAGCTGAAGTCTAGGCATAGAACCCGAGCTTACTGCGCTGACGGAACTCACAACACCTGGACCAGACGGGCCGGACGGGCCGGCAGGACAGGCAGGACAGGCAGGACAGGCACCGGTGGTTGATGGGTTCGAGACTCTCCTGATGCGGCCACACGCACCGCAGCCATGCGCTTGACACGGCAATGGCACTTGACATGGCACTTGACATGGTGCGTATGCTGCGCATGCTGCGCATGCTGCGCATGGTGCGCATGGTGGAGGGGTCTGTGACCGGACACTCACCACAGGACTCGCAGCGGGAGCCACATGCTGTGGTGGCACAGGCGTCACTTGCCCAGGCGAACTGGGACTCACAAGCCATGCCTTGGGAACAGCTTCCGTAGGAATGTGCTGCAAATACTCGTGCACGTCTTCAAGATTGTGTGACTCTACGTGAAAGTACAAGGCTTTGGGAAACAGCAGTTTCCTTAAACTTGGTTAAAGATGGTTAAAGTATGTTAAAGTGTAATTACAGATAATTACAGTAAATTTACAGTAATATACGGTAATAATTAATAATCTGTCCGTCCATTGAGTCCATTTTGTCCATTGAGTCCATTGGCTTTTGAATCGAATAAGCCGATATCTCTGTTGATGTCTGACTTCCGAGAATGCGACTTGGTGCATGGATGCGGCACTCGCCCTGGCAGGCACTGGAGTCTTCGAGCAGTTCGCTTCCATCTTCCAATTCGAAGAAACAATCACAGCGGATCACAGCAGAATACGCTTTGACGGCGAAGAGTTTGCATCTGAAAGGACAAGGATTCAGCGCCAATGATAACATTCATTCTACTTCATTGCAAAGCTGCAAAGCTGCAAAACACTAGTGATCTGCTGAAATTCAAACAACTTGTCGCATCCATTGTTCAACAAAAAATGCGCTAACGCATGTCTTTTTCAATATTTTTCATGACCCATCAAGCATCATCAAGCTATACCTGGGAGCCATCGCTTGACCCCGGAAGATATCGGTGGATTGTTCCTGGATGCTCGGATCTCAGGTCCATCGGACTGTCGGAATCTCCAAAGTCAAACTATCTCAAAGTGGTCCACGATTGGTCCAGGCCCCTGGAGTCGACGCCACGAAGGACTTCAACATACTTCAACTTGTGGCCTGCCAGGCCATGAAATTGTCAGGCTGATGGATGGGCGAGGCAACCTCCAGCAATTTCTCACCAGCCTGTGAAATCACATAATATGCCACTGTTGTCCACATGTACTCAGCCTCTGAAGAAAGCTCTTGTCTGAGACCGCAAGTCCGGAATCATCCTCCTTCCAAAGTTTGAAATTGCCACCTCTCCAGCCACTTCAGCCCAAATAGATCACATCGAAATTGATGGCTTCCTCCAGGCGTCATCTTGCCCTTGTCACCATTTCGGTCAAAGCCAATGTGCACGTCATCCTCAAGCACCAGGGTGGGCTCTTCCTGGGCTGCTGCAAATTCCCACAAGCGTCACACCCAGACAGCTGTGTCTCTCCCGGGTTCAAGTACTTTGTGGCAAAAGCACAACTTCAGCGTAAATTTTTCGCCCGTGGCATTCTTTTGGAGAGTCCCGGTGGGTGGATACTTCTCATGAAACGTCGGCGCATCTCTTATGTAGCTGAAGCCATCACCATTCTCAGTGAATTTCCAAGTGTCGTCCTCTTCCGGGGCGCTGCCCACATCCAAGTGGTGCCATCCTCGACCCACTCGAAGTCTGCGAAGTTGGCATTGGAGGTCCACTTCACTGCCACTTCCTCCGGGATGGTCATCTTGGATCCGAGGCCAGGAAGCGTTCGAATGCGTTCGACCTTTAACCATGGCATTCAGCATCGAAGCGACGCGCTTCCACCTATCTGGTCGCTCCAAATTCACCCCTTTCTTCGCTGCAGGTTTTTGCGGTGCCATGTTGACTCAGCAACGGTCCCAGTGCTGCGTCTGCAACTCTGACCCCGCAGTGTCAGCACCACTTGTTTCTGAGCCCAAAGTTTGAGCCAGAGCACCAAAGCACCATGTGGAAAAAACGCTGTGTTGGAGTGCTTTAGATGCCTGTAAGTTGGAGCAGCGGAACGTCTACATTCGACATCTCTTGATGATGTGTAATGATGTGTGTAATTACAATAGCACATGCTCCAGGCCGATTGCATGGTTGGTTTTAGGCCACCACCTCTCGGCCTAGATGGAACATCCCGGGATAATTGGCTATAACTATCTAATTATATAATAATAGCGTGAAACAATGTGAAACATGCAATGCAGCGGAAAGGCCCCGTAGAAAGGCTAGGAAGAAATTTACCTCATTAACTTATTAGGCAATGTTGCCGGCACTGCATCATGATGTATCACGACTATCTGAGACTGTCTCAGGGTTGGCCTCGGCCCCACAGTCCCAACAATCCTGCGCAGTGGAAAGAAATCATTGACGAACCAATTGTCATCCAACGCCAGAGGAACTGTCATCAGGCCATCGTAAGGGCAAAAGTTCCCTAAACAGATCTGACTATACTAGATCATAGGAATCATACTAAATTGTAGTGGTTTTACTCGTAGCTTTGCTGTCGGGTCAGGAGAAGAACTGGTCATGACTTCATTAGAGTCACTAGAGAGGTGAAATCCACTTCACATTCGCAGCATTTTGCAGCCGTGGTCCTTGGATTTCCTGGCTCGAGCCTGATCTCTCTCATGTGCGAGCACACCAACAACAGCAGGATGACTCTCGGAGAAGTAGAGACACAGTCTCCGTAAATTTCAACCCAGACCAAACATTTTCAACATTCAACATCTTTCAACATCTTCCAACTGTTTATAAGCTGATATCTATAAAAAATTAATGTTTATAATGTTCAAAATATCTTATCTAATTTTATCAAATATATTGCAGTATATTTGTTTTTCTCTTTCCTTTGGCTTTAGTCTTATGCCAGGCCTGGTTGGCTGCACGTTGATTGGCATCCTCTGCGTGAAACGCAAAGGATCACAACATCACGTGACCATATCACAACGGTTTGTGCTGCGATGTACTGCGACTTTCAAGTGATAATGCTAATAACGTGTTTATATCACAATGATAGATATGATATGGTATATATAATTATTAATATATAAAATATGCGTGTGTGATACCATACTATGGTCATTATTGCACACAGGTGCCTCGGCGAAATGTTCCCGACGTCAATGGGCCTCGAAATGATGTCGCTGCTGCGTCTTCTCAAAGTTAAGCCAGCACACAACCCCAATAGCAAAGTTCCGCGTTTCCTTTGACGCCAATTTGGTATTGACAGGTGGACATAGGTGGGCCAATTTAGACAAAAAACAAGGTGGGCCAGAGAACCCAAATTCAACGCGGCGCACAGCACGCCTTTTTTAAAAAAAATGTGGTGTGGGCAGATGTGCTCTGAACGAAATCGACGTAAGATCTTTACTGAAACATCGTGCGCATTGATGGTATCAGGGGCCACAATTCACCACAGCATGCTGTGTCAGCTACGTCCATATTCTTTTAGTCGCTTTCTGCTAATGTAATTAACTCTATCCCATCTCTCTAATCGCTGTTTATTGTTGGGTTCTCGTTTGGTTTGCATCGCCGCAGAGGTGGCGAGGACGAATCGTGGACGGACAGAACACCGTGTGAAATGAAAACTAAACGATGGAGGGAGTTGACCAAAAGAGCATGAAAACGAAGATATGAAGATGACAGATGGTGAATGATCATGAAAAATGAGACATGATGAAAGATGGATAAAGACTTCTCTGTACAAAAGCTTCTATGCGTAAAAACTACTGTGTGTAAACGCGTCTGTGCATACAAGTTTCTGTGTAAAAGTTCCTCTGTGTGAAGGTGTTTTTTGTGAAAAAACTTCTGTGTGTAAAAGCTTCTGTGTGTAAAACTTTCGTTGCGTAAAAGCTTCTGTATGTAAAAGCTTCTGTGGGTAAGAAATCTCTGTGTAAAAGTGTTTTTTGTGTAAAAGCTACTGTGTGTAAAAGCTTCTGTGTGTAAAAGCTTCTGTGTAAAACGTCCTCTGTGTGTAAAAGTTTCTGTTTGTGAAAGTTTCTTTGCGTACCAGCTTCGGTGTGTAAAAGCTCCTCTGTGTTAAGGTTTTTTTGTGTAAAAGCTTCTGTGTGTAAAAGCTTCTGTGTAAAAGGCGTCTCTGTGTAAAAGCCTCTGTGTGTATGTGTGCAAGCTCCTCTGTGTCAAGACTTCTTTGTGTAAAGATTTCTCTCTGTAAAAACGACTCTGTGTAAAGCATCTGTGTGTAAAAGCTTCCCTGTGTGAATGCCTCCGTGTAAAGACTCCTCTGTGTAAACCCGTCTGTCTGTGTGTAAAAGCTTCTCTGTGTAAAGGCTGTTTTTGTGTAAAAGCTTCTGTGCGTAAAAGCTCCCCTGTGTGTAGAAGCTTCGCTGCGTAAAGCTGCTCTTACTTAAAAGTTCTGTGCGCCGTAAAGTTGTCTGTTTGTAAAACCGTCTGTGTGTGTGTGAACGCGTCTGTGTGTACAAGATTCTGTGTGCAAAAGCTCCTCTGTGTAAAGGCTTCTCTGTGTAAACGCGTCTGTGCGTAAGAGCTCCTCTGTGTAAGACTTCTCGGTGTAAAAAGCTTCTGTGTGTGTGAAAGCTTCTGTGTGTAAAAGCTTTATTGTGTAAAAGTTTCATTGTGCAAAAGCTCCTGTGTGTAAAAACTTCTCTGTGTAGAGGCTTTTTGCGTAAATGCTTCTGTGTGTAAAAGCTCCTCTGTGTGTGCAAGCCAAGCTTCTCCTGTGTAAAGACTTCTCTGTGTAAAAGACTTCTGTGTCAAAGCCTCTGCGTGTACAAGCTTTTCCGTGTACAACGTACTCTGTGTAAAAGCTGCTCTGTGTAAAAGGCTTCTCTGTGTCAAAGCCTCTGTGTGTGCAAGCTCTGTGTATAGAGACTTCTCTGTGTAAAAGCTTCTGTGTGTAAAACCTTTCCTGTGTAAAAGTTTCTCTGTGTAAAAAGACTCTCTGTGTAAAGTCCTGCCTATGTACAAGCTTCTCTGTGTAAAAGATCCTCCGTGTAAAGCTCCTCTGTGAAAAAGCTGCTCTGTGTAAAAGGCTTCTCTGTGTAAAAGTCTCTGTGTGTGTGCAAGCTTCTCCGTGTCAAGACTTCTTTGTGTAAAGATTTCTCTGTGTAAAAGCGACTCTGTGTAAAATCTGCTCTGTGTAAAACCCATGCCAACAGTTCAGCATTTTCAGTGCCACTCCCTCTTCCCCACCTGTCCGTTCACGCTGATGCATGTCCTATGCTTGGGTTCTCGTTTGGTTTGCTTCGCTGCGAAGGGGCCGAAAACCAAGCATCGACGGACAGAACGCCGTGCAAAATGAAAAAGCCCTCCAGCAAAGAACTTTTTCCCATACATGTCCCTTTGCCCAGCGTTTAGAAACCGTTTGAGAAGTCTTTGGCGCCAGTTTTTCGGGACAATCACGTTGATGGAATTTGTCCTGAAAAATCCGTGCCAACAGCTCTGCTCTTTTAGCCTCGCTCCCTGCCAACGAAGCTACAGCTATGCATGTCCCATGGCCCAGGGCTTGGAACCTTTGGCAAGTCTTGGGCAGAGCTCTCCCCAAGCTATTTCCACGTCTTGGACCCACAGTTCTTCAGGCCAATCATGCATTTCCCTCCCAGCGGAGCCCCCCCCAAGCTATTTCCACGCATCACAGTCCATCCACGCTCGTCCGGCGCTCCCAGCTCGCTCCCTCCAGCGGAGCTCCCCCCAAGCTATTTCCAAGCTATTTCCAAGCTATTGCTATTTCCACGCTTTCCACTCCGTCCGTGCTCGTGCCTTTCTTTCTTCCTTCCCTCCCTCCCTCCCTTCCTTCCTTCCTTCCTTCCTTGCTCGTCCGGCTCTTCTGTCTCGCTACCCTCGCGGCAAAGTAACCTAAACGAGAACCCAAGCATCGGAGATGCTTTTGGGAACACGATTCCTTCAATACCACCAAGACACCAACACGCCACAGAAACACAACCAAAACATAAGCAAGGCACCCAAAACATCACCGAACACCGTCAAGACACTACGGACACACCACCAAAGTGCCACCAAGACACCAACGACCACCGAAACACAATTGAGAGACGACCAAGACACCAGCAGGACACACACCAGCAATTCCCGAAAGGACCTGCAAACGGTTTTCCCCAACAAGTTGTTGCCAGCATACTTTGTCATAATCATCTTGAGACACCACCGAGACGCCACCGATACATTATCGAGACACGGCCGAGACACCACCCAGACTCTCGACATTCTCGAGACACCACGAAGTCACTAAGTCACTAAGACACCACCAAGAGACAACCGAAACACCGAGACACCGGGACACACCCCAGGCTGGCAGCCGTAAATCCAACGCCCGTCCGCCTTTAGACTTTAGAGGTAACAACCCCAAGCTATCGCTATTGGGGAAATATCGCGAACAGGCACTGAAAGGCATGCAGAGAGCCAAGAGATGGCGAGATGGCGCCCAGCAATGACACAACATCAAGAAAAACGCGACCTGTCGAAATATCTCTGAACATCACGTCAGGAAATGTCAGGACTGTTGGTCACGCACTGACACGTCCACTTGTCTTACACTCTGTGCAGCCTGGGCTGAGAGTTGGAGGAGAACATCCTGCAGACATAGCATTGAAGCGATTGAAATATGACATTTGGCATCTGCAACATATCATAAGTATCACAGTATAACATTGTATAACTATATATGATGTAACTACAATAGTTTGACAGTTTGACTCTGTACGTATGCGCACGTTGTCGCAGGATATCCTGGCAGTTGCATGTGCTGGAAATACTCTTACTGATTCTTACTGGTACAGTATCATCTGGTATCGTTTCTCATGGCCTTGGCGTCAAGGGCTGTGGAGTGATTTCCAGCATGCTCCTTGCAGACATCATAAAATATCACACGAATTCACCAGCGACATCTGGCGTCTCATATTGTTACACAATGTTACAGATATCGGCTTGGCAAAACCTGCCAAGCCAAGATCATCCCATATCATCCCCTTGAATGACAGGATGTGAAAAAATGTAGCAGGACATAATGGACATATTCAGCTTATTCAGCTTTAGGAGGCACTTGTCTTTTTTTAAATATATGTGTATATATATAGAAAAATTGAGGCTATGACCTGGCAAAATCTTGGAAAAATGACACGACGAAATGATGTCCATGTCCAAACTTTGTTGCTCCTTGGTGTCAAGGCTTGAGGTAACTCTCTTGGGATGAAGGTCTGTGGCACAACCTCCACAGCACTCCTGGTATCCATGATATCCACTTGCCGTAATCTTACATTATCCTGTGCAGCACTGTGCACTATCTTCCATTGCTTCAAGTGACATTGTAGAAATCCAGGTGAAAGCTGGAAACAGTATGTACAAATATGTGCAGTATGTCGTAAATGTATGCAAATTTGTGTAGAAGTAGAAATAAGAGAAACAAATGCGTATTATTTCTAAGATTATATTACACATTATAATCATTAATTAATATTATATATATTATATAATTATGCAGATGAGGCAGAGTCCTTGGCGTCAAGACCTGTGGAGCCATCTCCCTTGGTGTCAAGGATTGAGGAGTTACATCCACCGCACTCCTGGACAATTGAGGATCCATGGTGAACGGATGTGAACGTTATGCCATGTTATGCCGACGCCAATGTTCCTGTGATGTTCGATGGAACGATACTGTACGGAACGTGTGAAGTCCCCAAGAACCCCAACCAATCTCAACCATCTGTCCAAGGATGTCCAAGGTTTAGCTTTTTGCGATTTTAGGGTGCCCGTTTCGAACCACACCCGTAGGGGGTCGTTCTGGCCGGCTTTGAAATCTGTGAGCACTGAAACATTTGAATCATCAATTTAGCTCGCATCACGCTCTCTATCTTAGACTTATGATGACTTACCGACCTATGCAGACAAAATGGCTTGCTTTCGTCTGTTCAGCACAGTAGCACTGGCAATCCCTTGGGTCTGCTCCTCGGTGTCAAGGCCATGTTTTCTCGTCGATGCAACACCTCCATGGAATTCCTGTCAACTTCAGAAGAGACTTCAACGCAAGCACAAACAACCAGCTCAAAACGCAGTTCAACATACTGTAATGCAACTCAACATTGTGTAACATGATCTACTTCATCAATGCAACAATATAAAAGTATTATTTAATCCAAATCAGTCCACATATTCAGAAAGGCTGAAAAACAACTATTGGTGCATGTCTACGTACGTTCACCCACGGTGGATTTTATAGAAAAATATAGTAAACATTAGAAAACACGGCTTTGAGCAGAAAAAGGGCAGCATGGATCAACCAGGGAATGGTCCTTGTAAGCGGGCGAACTTGAGATGCCACTGTCCTGACAGGTGGTCTCGCAAAGTGCTGCAACGCAGTAACTTGCAAAGAAATGGAACCAAATGGAGCCAAGGTGAAAACATCAAACTGTTGAAAATTCCAAAACTCCTTGGAGAAACTGTAGGAGCGTCACTCCTGACATTGGGATGCTGCAAAAGTCAGTGGCAGAAAGGACATGCAACGAGTGCAACCCATCCTGACCGGCAGGGTTGAACGCTCCACAAAGGGCCTCGAAATAATCAAAGTAGAAATTCGAGAAAGTCACGAAGCATCTTTGGAACGTACGGAAGTCTGATTCAAAAATGCGCCAAGCAATTTCGCCGGAATAGTTCTGACATGTGATGTTATTGTCATAATATAATGTTTCCAATTATTTTATATATATTATATTATATTATATTTATATAGATGTTGTAGAATGTCATAGATGTTGATGTTGGATTGTCTGAGGATGTGGCTCTTTGGCCATGACGCCTTGAACTCCGCCCTGGACGCCCTGGACGCCGAGGCCTCTGCAAGCGTCCAAGCGGTCGAAGCGGTCCAGCTCGACAGTGCCGACGGTGCCAGCACTGCCGACGGCACGGGCTTCGCAAGGACTTGGACCACTTGGACCCGGAGCAAATGCAGGCGTTCCGCCGTGCAGAGCTTCGGATTTCTCCTGACCCTGACAAAGGGCTGCATAGTCAAGGCAGTTCAAGGTGGCATGTGGTTTCAAGATGTTTCAAGTGGCATCAAGTGGCATTGTCCTAAAATGTCATTATTCTTTCAACACACCTTAAATCAAACCACGAAGGGTGATGCGGTCACGATAGTTACACACAGAGAAATTAAATCAAGTTGCCGCAAGTAGTGACGCCCGTCTGTGTGTGGCACAGTCATCAGGTTTATACTTACTAAGTCTAAGTACTTATGTCATATCAATTGTATATATATATATGATATATGTCATAAACGTTCATGTCACAGTGTGTTTGCTCTGACTCGCCCAGTTTGCATTTCCTCCGCCTTGCGGCCTTATCAAGAAAGACACTACACACACATACACACAAAAATTACACATCCGTAGGTGTGACATGAAAACACATTGGTTGTATCATTGAATCATCTTGAATCGTAGCCATAGCTCTTGCAGCATTTTTGCTGCCCTGTGATATCCTATCAATTCAACAGGAGGGTGTGATGGTGCAACGCAAGCCAACAAGGCAAATCGAGTTACAGAAATGTGGAAACATGGCAGAATTGGTTCTATCACAATTTCAGATCTTGGGCATAGATGTCGATCTCTTTGCGGCTGCAGGATTGAGTTTCTATCAAATTTCACATGAGAAAGGAAGAAATTCGCTCGAATGGTCGCGTAGTTCCCTGAAGTCAAGGTTGTGCATCCGAGGAAAGCTTCACAAAATTATACAAAATTCATGCCACACTCTACCCTCAAAAAATGCTCATCTACACCCCAGGCAACTCTATACACTCTACGCATCCCTACGCCCTACGCGATTGCATTCCCCCCAGACTTCGCCTGGCTAACACTGGGGCAAGGCGAGATGCCTCGGCGAGAATGGACAATGGAAAGCACATCTTGGGAAATCTTGACTCATTGGTCTTGAAGGGTCTCCGAGTTTCTTTCAGTACTTTTCTATACTTTCTTGAGTTTCAAGCATGCCCGGAAGGACGCGCGTCTAAAGATTGCATAAAACGGGCTTATCTGAAAGGATCATGCAGATTCAATGTGCAGGTTCATGGCTTTGACACATGAGAAAAAGGTCTGATCTTTCATTTGATGAATTAAGTTGGCTGAAACTATCGAAAATTGTTTCTGTCTCACATGTTTGTTTACTGTTTGATATGTTAGCATATATTTTACATATTTCTATAATCTCTCCGTGTAATATGCATGCTATATATATGTGTGTGTGTGTATCTCTCTCTCTCTTATGTGTACATATGATATGATATGATTACGTGTGTGTGTGTGTGCGTTTTTATATGTCTTCAGCGTGTGCAATGCATTTCAGTCTGGTATGGTCTCCAGGAGACGTTCTGGGTCGCAAGCCTCGGCTGTCACGCCCGGCGCCAAACTGTCGGTACGACCTCGGAGCATCGGCAGAAAACCCGGCAATCTATGGCACATCCCGGATTTCTATGTCGAATCTATTTGAATTTCGAAGGCATCGAAATCTTAGATGATATGATCTCAAGATATCTTTCAACACTTGTATTTCAAGATGTTTTCACATGGCCATGGCATGGCCATGGTCTATGGCGTTTTAGTTTATATTATAAGTTTTAATCTGAACCAGTTTGAACGTTCTCAGATACGTGCTGCTCGACATCAGCATCAAGCTGACGCAGCTCTTCAACCTTGCACGGTAATTGTACCGGAGATCTGCAAGGTTACAACGAAATTACAACGAAACAAGGCCCAAAAAAAAAAAGAGGGCTCAGTCGCATTCATTGATATTGATTCTACTACGGCTCTTTCTACAGCTCTTTCAACATCCTTCAGCAGGCAGCAAGTGCTTCAACATCCTTCAATATTATACACATATAATATATAGATATCTATATATATATGTGTGGTTGTTGATCAAAATTCCTTTATCCGGGAACGGCCATTCTTCGCGAATAGAAATGTTACTTTCGCGAAACTTTCGCGAACTCCATGTTTATCTTTCGCGGAACCTATGTTAGGCAATCATGATATCCAACTTTCGCGAAACTGTCACGAAAAAACAATGTTACTTTCGCGAACTCGAAAAAAACTTTCGCGAGGGTTTCCAAACATAACATGCATGGCTTTCGCAATTAAAACTCCTTAGAAGGACCTTTAGATCGATTGCCATATATAAAATATTAATTAATATGTGTATGTCTGTATAATTATATAATAATATTATATAATTATATACATAGTGGAAGGTGGCAGGTGAAGGTGACTTGGCTTCCAGCTGCTCGTGCCCGAAGATCAGGACCTCAGCTGAGTCCGAAAACGCCACCAGGGTCTAGCATGGTCCAATACTGCATTCGACTGCAGTCTTTGAGCTCGACATGCTTCGACCAAGCAAATCTGCAGCAACACTAAGCCACTAAGCAAACAGCAGGTGCAAACTCTTTGTCTGAAGTTTGAAGATGCTTGAACAGCTAATCAGAAATGAAACATGTTTCCACGGAGAAACGCATGCACATCACAAACGAACACAACAGAAACATGAAAGAAAATGTGTGTGTGTGTGTCTAGATGTGTGAGCTGACCGTCTGTGTGTGTGTCTGTGCCATGTCATGCCATGTCCAATGAAAGTTTTTTTCCTGTTCTTTTCTGCATAAAATGGATTTAAAATGATTAGAATGTAGCGATATAACACGTTTTCTACCCATTTTCTCACGGTTCGTCAGCTCGTCGAGATTCGTCGAGGTACCCATCTCCTCGAGGTCGTAAATGAAGAGCTTGGGGTAAAACCGCTGCAAGGCCCGACCTGGCACAGCACAGCACAGCACAACAGCATAACTCTGACAATATCTGGTTCAAATCTGGTTCAAATCTGGTTCAAATCTGGTTCAATATGTTCAATCCAGCTAGGCCCAGAAAGGTCTAGGAACCCCATGGTCAAAGTGTCAAACATATGTCAAAATCTGTCAAACATGTTAAAAGTTGTTGCAAGTTAACATCAACTGATGTCAATGGATGTGAATTGATGTGAATTGATGTCAAGATATGTCAAGATATGTCAAGGTATGTAAAGTGTTCAAAGTGTTGGTCCAGGGTTCAAGCTGTAGTCCGCACAGCTGGTCAGCAAGCCATCCTCGCACGACAGTCACGAGCCCAGGGCCCAACGATCCCCGTTACTCAATGCTGGAGTCACCAGTCCTGCATCGTCCTGTCCTGGTAACATTGTCACTATATGTCACTAATATGTCACTATTTCGTACGATTTCTTTTTTTGACATCTTCCATCATCTTCTCATCTTCCCCCCAGTCCTCATCATATATTGCCTGACGCCTCATCAAGGGACCAAACAAACTTTGGAAGCATGCAGCAGGGAAGCCTGACCTTCTCTCTCACCCTAGGGTGGACATTTATATACATTTATGAATCTATGAAGCTTTATGACAATGAAACAGAGAACTAGATAGAATTAACTAGATAGAAACTAGATAGAACTAGTACATTACCAAAATAAGCAAAAACAGCATACGAGTAAGATTCAAAATTCCCCAAACCGTCACATCCCGTCACCAGAAAAGCATCCAAAAGCCAAGAGATGTTGGCTGTTAAGTAGTATGTACTCGAGCCATGCTGTGTTCATTCTTGAGGCCTACTGCTACTCTTGCCTCGCCTTGTCCCACTTTATCCCTCTGCAGGGTCTGCGCGGATCTGCACGGATCTGCGGGCCGGACTCAATTGGGACGCCAAAGTATCTGGCGACGTTTTCACCTTGGTGCTAAGCCGCTAAGCTGAATCATGCTGAGTATCGCTCGTCGTATCTCGTCGTTCCTGCTGCAATCCGTGTCATCGTGTTACACATTGCATCATGGCAGTATCATGGCTGAGCCTCCCTGCGCAAGGTCCCGGCAAACTGCGGAGAGCGTATGAAGTCACCCATGTCTGCAACATCGAACCTCCGGAAAAACACATGTTTTTTGCTCGTATGCTGCCATATGCTTGTACAGCATCAACATGAATCAACTGGGTCGCCATGCCAATCATGAAGCAATCCACGGACCTCCACCTGGTGCGACACAGCGACATGTTCCCATGTGTTCATTTGAGACATACTTGAGACATATGAGACCATTTGAGACCATTTTAGACTAAAGAAAATGGATGAATGGATGAATGGATGGAATTTGTGGTCTTGTCAAGCTTCCCCTAAGTTGGTGTGGAAGTTGGTGTGAAGAAGAAAAAGAGAAACGTATAAGATCTTCTATGGTCCCAGTTTAATCAGTTTTACATAGTTTTACAATCCTTTAAAATCCTCAGCCATGCCAGAATTCTGCGGAAATTCTTGTATGTCAGTTGCACCCGCAACATCTTGCCAGAGACTGGTGGAGGTGCTTGGCCAGGCGAGAGCACCTCAAACGCACTCTGTGATACTTTGTGGATCTTGATGGTACTGCAGTGGAAGAAGGCGTGTAAGAATAAGTAAAAGATGGTTGTCGCATGTTGTCGCAAGTTCCGACTCTTTCTCCGTTGTCATCATTGGACAGGAGAGCCTGTAGAGGACTGTGGGCGCATGAAAATATGCAAAGTGTGTCAGGCATGTCAAACAAATATTGTCTTAATATTACTTGTAGCCCTATGTACTTCGATGAGAATCATCGTGAAAGCACAACAAGTCACTGCTCAAGTCCTGGTATGGTCCTAGTCACTGCGAGTTGGGTCTCCATGGGTCTCCATGGGTCTCCATGGGTGTCCCTGGGTCTCCGGGCTCCCCCCGCGGCCTTCTCCAGCTCGGCATCGGCCACAAGATCGGCAAGACCACCACCTGGCATGTGCCATGGTCCCAGACTGAAGTTTCAGTGTCGTGAAGCTTCCCTAGCCCCATTCAAGCATGGCTTAACAGGTCATAGAATTTTCGACAATTCACATACGATATGATAAGATATGAAAAGTCACAAGGGAAGAATGACACAACCGTTCTGGCACATCAAGGCACGTCCCATCCAAACATATCAGTAACATCAGAACCCATTCTGTATGTCACCAGGTCTCACCAAGTTTCACCAAGTGCAAGCAGGACAAGAGGGCGATTGGCAACTCTCACGGTTCCCGGAGCTGGAGTTGGCCCTGGCTGTGCAGTGTTCGACTATGCGGCATATGCGGTTTTGCATCCAAAATATCACTATAATGTCCCAATGCAAGTGCAAGCAGAGTAAACAATTTTGGCCTCAAGCACCTTTTCATAGCCAATACTATTTCATACTGATAATATTTCGAACATCTTTTATTAATTATCGAGCAAGATGTCCATGCAGACTTTCATGTTTCATCAAGGTCCAAAGTCTGAAAGTTCGTGCTGAATCGCTGTCACTTGGGCGTCGTGACCCGCCTCCAGGAGGAGCATTGGCCTAGCACGGCACTGAGAAAGCACTGAGTGACCACAAGTGACCAGTAGATCCACTAGGCATCCAGTAGGTATCCAAAGGTTCAAACACAAATTTATAACGATTCTACTGAGTTCGCTGGTGTTGATATATGATGTATATGGTTCTTTATTTTACTCCATTGGTTTTTTTTGGTTTTTGCCAAAACCTATAGCATGGACGTTGCCACAGGTCGTAGGCAGTAACCCGTTTCCTACCTACTATCAAGAACCTAGGGCTTCGTTCACTGCTTGGTGGTGTATTTTTGAAACGAAATCTTCCCATGTAGCAAAAACTTCACACGGAGCAAAAGTTTCACACTGAGTGAAGGTGTCACATTGAGCAAAAGTTTCACACCGAGTAAAGGTGTCACACTGAGCACAACTTTCACATTGAATGTTTCATATTGGGTTTCCTTTGTTGAATGGGGGTTGGTATCGCTGCGCTTGTTCAATAATCCTCTCACGCATCGATCGGTTGTTCTTGTCGAATGGTATTTGCGGTTGTGTAGCATCATGCGTCTTAATCACTTCCCATGCTTTACTCATGTTGTTGGTTGTCCAGAATTGTCGTGGGCGGCCTCGTCTTCTGTGTTCGGTTTCCCGCGGGAGCGCGGATCTTGTGGAGAACGCAGCTTGGTGTAGTGGATGTTGCCTATCCCTTCTCAAGACATGCCCAAGAAGTTTCAGTTTTCTGTCTTCCAGAATTTCGGTTAGTGATTTGATTTGTCTCCCAGGTCCCTCTGATGGCGCGTTGAGAGTTTCATTGGCTCTTCTTTACACATATTCATTGGAATTGTTGCCATGCACGAACGCGGTGTGTAGTTTCAAAATTTTTCGCAAACCCTTTAGTTGGTCTCATTACACAACGTCAGCTATTGTGAGAAAATATGCGGTAATTAGATCTGAAATTTTTGCTCCTTGACAGATCAAGGTGGCGATTGGTAACAAACCATCACACAGCTCACCCCATTCCAGTCCCCAAGGGCGCAGCCTCAACTGCCATCTCCACCCTGAATTGCCAACCTCAAGCAACACCGTCTCCAACATCAACCATGGCCGTTTCGAGGTCCAAGAAACCAAAGATAACCAAACGTGCATTTCGAATTTGGAACCGACAGAACAAAGCAGGATGTTCGCATTTGTGATGTCCACCTTGACCACCCCCGTGGAGCGAATCTGAAATTTTCGAACTGCTTCATTGAGCCAAACAGCTACAGCGCGATGCCCAAAGAAACAGGGTGTTGCCATTCACGCGAGATGTAAAGACGATCCTCCAACACTTCAAGCGATGCAAGCCGACGTGCCGGGCCATGACCAGAATATAATCATAAGAGTGTGAAAAGGAGAGAGAGAGAGAGAGAGAGAGCGAGAGAGAGAGAGAGAGAGAGAGAGAGAGAGAGGGCGAGAGAGGGAGAGGGAAAAAAGAGAGGGAAAAAAGAGAGAGGGAAAAAAGAGAGAGGGAAAAAAGAGAGAGGGAAAAAAGAGAGAGGGAAAAAAAGAGAGAGCGAAAGAAATGCATACATATCTGTGTAATTATAAACATATACGCAATTGCATGTATAATCATGTATATGCGTGCGTGCACAAAGGTTACACACACCTTTATTGAAACCATACATACATGCCACTACTTGGTGCAGTGCTACATAGGATACTGTACCACCACCACCGCTTTCTGCTGACCCCGGCGTGTCAGTGATTGCCGCCGGCACCGCGAAGGACATGTGAGTCTCATTGCTGCTCGACTGTGGTTGTTGAGACATTGTTCCAGCTTCTCTGCGATGAATCACTTCCGTTTACTAACAGCCCAACAACTGGTAGTAATTATAAGTCAAGTAGAGCAGGGTGCCGAAGACAAAGTGAGCCAATGGTAGTGCCGCCCACCGGAGTCGGGGTACCAACCAACCAACATCAACCAACCAAGTAAGTGCGCTCTCAGAGCGTCTTGCCTTAGGGCCCGGTTTCCGCGTAGTACCACCGTACGCCCTGGGCAGAGCGTACGGCTGATAACCCGCGAATGGGCTGCGAAGTTGTATTGCAAGGCTCCTTGTACGTGTCTTAGAGGTTTACCCAGTCCCAAAGCGGCGCGTCGTTTTCGCCCTTCTGCGGAGCAGTTGTTTCAGCCTTGTAGCTCGCATAAGAGCCGCGGGCTTGAGCCATGGGCAGCGGGGCGAAAAGAGTTGAGACCTGCTGAACTCGTGAATTGGCACAACTGAACTGCCCCTACTGTACTGATATTACGAGTCATGTCTGGCTAGCATTCTACTCGCAATATATATTCATATATTCATATATTCATATAATTCGGTGGCGGAAGTTTCAAAAATAGGACACCTATAGGAGAGCTTGGTTGTTGTGAATCCGGGATGGCAGAGCGAAGCCACTGATGGACTGAAAGGTGCTTGATCTCTCACTCTTTTTCTCTCTTTCTCTGGCTATCTACCTACCTACCTATCTATTTTCTATGTATCTATCTATCTATCTATCTAACTATCTATCTATCTATCTATCTATCGATCTTTCTAGTGTAGTGTAACGTAGTGTAGTGTAATTTAGTGTAGCGGTGTGTAGTGGAGCGTAGTGGAAGAATAGTTGTGTAGTTCTGTAGTTGTAGTTGTAGTGTTGTGGAGTGTAGTGTAGTGTGTGGAGTGTATAGTGTAGTGTAATGTAGTGTAGTGTAGTGGAGTGTATAGTGTAGTGTAATGTAGTGTAGTGTAGTGGAGTGTCTAGTGTAGTGTAATGTAACTGTAGTGTAGTGGAGTGTAGTGTAATGTGGCGTAGTGTATTGTAATTTAATGTAGCGGAGTGTAGTGGAGTTGTAGTGTTGTGTAGTTCTGTAGTTGTAGTTGTAGTGTTGTGGAGTGTAGTGTAGTGTAATGTACTGTATGTAGTGTAGTGGAGTGCATAGTGTAGTGTAATGACCCGAAGCCAAGCGAAGCGACATCTGAACCTCCAAAAGTGGTCCGAACCCCTAGTGTTTTGTACATTTTGACTTCGAAATGTGCTTCGCGCCACAACGGCGTGCACATTTTCGAGATCTGAACCTCCAAAAGTGGCGCGGACATGTGGTGTTTTGTACATTTTGACTTTGAAATGTGCTTCGCGCCACAACGGCGTGCACTTTTTCGACATCTCAACTTCCAAAAGTGGTCCGAACCTGGTGTGCTTTGTACATTTTGACTTGGAAATGTGCTTCGCGCTACAACGGCGTGCACTTTTTCGACATCTGAAGTTCCAAAAGTGGTCCGACAATGGTGTGCTTTGTACATTTTGACTTGGAAATGTGCTTCGCGCCACAACGGCGTTCACATGTTCGACATCGCAACTTCCAAAAGCGGTCCGGAGCTGAGGTGTTTTCTACATTTTGACTTGCAAATGTGCTTCGCGCCACGACAGCGTGCACTTTTTTGACATCTCAACTTCCAAAAGTGGTCCGACACTGGTGTGTTTTGTACATTTTGACTTGGAAATCTGCTTCGCGCCACAACGGCGTGCAATTTTTCACCAGCTGGCTCCGCACCCGCCGCTTTAGCGAGCCTACTTTTCGACCCTCCGGAGCCACAAATCATTGGAAAAACACAGTGTTTCGCGACTTTCCTACCTTTTCGCGCATCTCCATCTTCTTTCCTTCTGATCTTTCTCTTCTCTCTGCCTCTTCCCTGCTCTGCTTTTCATCTGTCCATATTGTCGGAAGTTTGACTTCTAAACTTCCTTCGATCATCATATATGTGACAGAAAGAAAGAAAGAAAGAAAGAGAGAGAGAGAGAGTAACTATAGATGCAATTACGCATGTGGATGTACGTGCGTGTGTGCGCAAAGATTACATACATGTATTGAAAAAATTAAAAACTACACTGATTGAAAGGACGTCGCTCATTTCCCAGGCAGCTGCTGCGTTGCTTTGCCCTAGCTCGCATATCGGGCTTTGCAAACCCACCAGCGGCAAGCCATGTGTCATGCGCTAGTTCAGGAGGAAAGGACAAGGCACATGTAAGCATATAATTAGTTTGTAGATGCCTCAAAAGACAGGACGTACAATCACTCTGAAGAATTGGAAATGTCCGATGCCAGAACAGTGAAAGAATCTGTGGAATGACATGGAATTGTTTGTCTTGGTCTTGGCCGCCACTGCGGGGAATCAGGAAGCATCACTAATCGTTCTACGGTACAGCATCCAGCTCAGGTGACCGGAGATGATGAAGTGACCCAACCTCAGGAATATGCACACACATTCCACACACCCACACACACACACACATGACATGTGTATGTGTATATATATATAATTATATATATATGTGTGTGTGTATACACACGCCAAAATTCAAGACAGCATGTGGGATGCATATTTGCTCAAGACTGGCAACGGTCAGACTTGGGATTTCAAGTCTGACAGCCGTCAGATTTGGGATCAAAAAATTGAACAAAATAGAAAAAATCCAGCATCTTGTCCAGAAATGTTCAACCAGAGCCCTAGATTGAAGATTGAAGCGTGGAATAGCGTGGAGATATCTGAAGATTTCTGGACAAAACCCCTGTGAAATCTTCAATTTTCAATCTTCAATCCACTGGGGGTTGGCTTTCGGACTTATCAAACCTGACAAGTCGATCCCGTCTGGGATTTTTTCAAGTCTGAATGCTGGAAGTCTCCTCATTTCAAGTCTGACACGCGCCCTCCATTTCAATGCCCTTGCCGATGGATCAGCTCGACGTGTCACAACTCCAAAAGGCACATTTTTTTGAAAGACATCCCCCCGTACATGCACCCCAATGTCATGAACGCATATTCTGCTGCGTTGCTGATAAGTATAGTCTGGCATAAAACAGCACGCCTGAATGACAATGACAGAAGAAAAGTGGACAGTGCACATGCATCTCAAGGCGGAAGAGTTGACAATACCCCGTGTCTCAAGTTTGCACGGTGAAAATGCTAATCGATTTCAAGGCTGAATCGTGGAAGCACACACGCACTTCGCAGTGGAGGAACAATTGTTTACAAACAAAGAAAAAAGTCAGCAATTATAATGCATAAGTCAGGTGAGCACGACTTCTGGACCTGTACAGGTGACCTAGTGAAAAAAATCCGTTGCCCGTGCTTGTGCCAAAAAAAAAGAGCCTGCTATGATGCATCCCTGGCTGCTGGAAGATGAAAAAAAAAACGACTTGCTACTGGCCGTCTGCATATTACCCAAATTGCTCACATCGAAGATCATGGATGTCTAATAGCCGCACGAAAACGTCGCGTCCCAGTGTGGCACCTACCGCTTGGCCACTGAAGATGCTGAAACTGTGATTTAGACAATAGATGCTGAAGGTCATCTTGTTTCATTGTCCATAGCCCATCGGTCAATCAGAAGGTCAAACTACAACTTAGATAATCATTGCTGGAGACTTTCTTGTCACACTGCCAAAAATCTCTTTGGTCGTCTGCCCGCTGACTCTCAATGATTCCAAACAATGTAAAAGCATAGGTTGAGCACATCTGGGGGGTATTGGTGGGGAGGTAGCGAAAATGTGGATATCTGTGTATATACATATAAACATGTATAATATATGTGTGTGTGTGCGTGTATGTGTCATCATCATCATCATCATCATCATCATCATCATCATTCCATGGTCCGGACATGTCAGGAACATGGACAAGTACCATGAAATGAAGATACCATGGAGATGGGCTATGATTTTCCTAGGCTCACAGTCTCCAACGGCAAACAAATCACGTTGCATGACAAGTGTTCAAGGATCATTGGGGAAGATTGAGGTAGGGCAAAGCCTTCATCGAGCAAACATGTTTGCAACATGAAATTAGAACAGATCGTGATGATCCTGCACTGTTCACTGATCCACTCCTGATCACTTTTAAAACTTTTGGAGGGTCTGGCTTTGTCCCACCCTCCAGTGTCATCATACTACGCAGCCATACATGAGGCTCAGACTCAATCACAATTCCAGCCATGTCAGACATTTGCCCGCTCCACACATCCAAGACGTCCTCTGGCAGGCCAGTTTAAACAGAATGAGTCTGAGATTTAGCAACGCACACGCAGCGCACCTTGAACATTTGAGAGGATAAGCAGTACAAGACCTGGCGCTTGTTGACGCGGCATTCCCTTGCTACAAACTCATACGAACTCAGCTTGTGAAGGGTCACTAGAAGGTGAAAAAGCTGGCCCTATGCGTCTGAAACATGCCGGTGGCGCGAACAAAAGGGGCAGTCCCAGCACACCAAGGAAAACATACCACACACAGCGAAAGATGATAGCGTCCTGGTTTCTTTGCGCTCATCATGTGATATTGTGATATAATATCCTTTCCCATTCTCGTTGAGATGACGCATGTTGCATGAAACCTTCACTGCCAAGTGCCACCTGTCCTTGTCACACAAGCGGGGATCGAGAAGAATACGGGCTGGCCACATGGTCCAGGTGACCTGCGACCTGTGACACACCGAAAACATCGGGAAACTCAAGAACTGGTGGCTTTGGAAAAATCTCGGATGATCTAGTCTAGGCAAACGGCAAATGCCATGCTATGGTACCGGCCTTTCTTCTCCGTTCTTGTAGGCTGCCTCAACTGAAATGGACAAACCAAAACTAAACCATCCAAAAACATAGGGCCCCACTCAAAACATCTGAAACCAGAAACCTACTTGTCTGTCTATGTCTATGTATCTATCTGTCTATCTGCCTGCGTACTATGAACAAAGGTTGACAGAACGGATCTACACTTGTGCTTTTTGAAATGTATGTATGTATGTATGTATGTATGTATGAATGAATGAATGTATGAATGTATGAATGTATGAATGTATGAATGTATGTATGTATGAATGAATGAATGTATGTATGAATATGTATGAATATGTATGAATATGTATGATTATGTATGAATATGTATGAATATGTATGATTATGTATGAATATGTATGATTATGTATGATTATGTATGATTATGTATGATTATGTATGATTATGTATGGTTACATATGGTTACGTATGGTTAGGTATGGTTAGGTATGATTATGAATGATTATGTATAATTATGTATGGTTATGTATGAGTATGTATGATTATGTATGATTATGTATGATTATGTATGATTATGCATGATTATGTATGATTATGTGTGATTATGTGTGATTATGCATATTTATGTATGTATGTATGTATCTATCTATCTATCTATATCTATCTATCTATCTATCTGTCTATCTATGTACCTATGTATCTATCTATCTATGTATGTATGTATGTACGTATGTATGTATGTACGTATGTATGTATGTGTCTTTGTATGTATGAATATATCTATCTATCTGTCTATCTATCTATCTATCTATCTATCGATCGATCTATCTATATTTCTATCAATCTATCTATCTATCTTTCTATGTATGTATGTATGTATGTATGTATGTATGCATGTATGCATGTATGCATGTACGCATGTATGCATGTATGTATGTATGTACGTACGTACGTATGTATTTATGTGTGTATGTAAGTATGTATGTGTGTGTGTTTTTGTGTGTATTGTATGTATTGTATTGTATTGTATTGTATTGCATTTCATTGTATTGTATTTTTTTGTATTGTATTGTATTGTATTGTATTGATGTATGTATGATCGGGGTGCCAATTCATTATGTGAAGCTGTGCAGGAGTTTTAGAGCGGTCTAACTTTTGTGCATAGGCCTCAGGCTTTAAAATGCACAAAAACAATGAAAACTGGCTCTGCAATAAAATGCCTTGCCACCAAATTCATGCTTGAATGTGCATCCAACATCATCCAATTTCATCCAATTTTGAAGACCCTCAGAAACGCATCTTTAAAAAGAGGTCAGGAAATCCATTTTAGATAGGGGTATTTTAGAGTGAAGGTGCCCAAATATTTAGTGTGTTTTTTTTTTAATAGCATTCTATAGCAACAAAATACGGTGGCATTCTTTCGTGGCAATTCCTTAAAAATCCTTTAAATTCCTTAAAATTCCAAAAAACTCCTTAAAAATCCTTAAATATCCTTTAAAATTTAAAAACATTAAAGATCCTTAAAAATCATCCGAATTCCTTCAAATTCCGTCAAATTCCTTTAAATTCCTTAAAATTCCTCTAAGGTTCCTTAAAATTCCTTAAAACTCTCTAAATTCCTTAAATTTCCTCATAATTCCTTTAAAATTCCTTAATATTCCTTATAGTTCCTTTAAAATCCCTTCATATTCCTTAAAATTCCTTAGACTTCTTTCAAATTCCTTAAAATTCGCTGATCTAAAATGACATGCCCAATAAAATCGATATAAAAAGATCCTGGAAAAACACTGGTTCCATTCTGCAATAAAATGCTCCAAGCAAACATGTTTTTGCAATAAAATGAGAATGGAATTTTAACATGTTCAAAATCATCAGGATTTACCTTTACAATAAAATGCTTAGCCCAACCCCCCAACAATAAAATGACTAGCCTGACATCAATTTTAAAATTCCAATACATTAAGAATTTCGTTTAAACTATGCACAGGTTCACCAGTTCTAGAGTGGAAATTGCCACGGGGATTATGTATGTATGTATGTATGTATGTATGTAATGTAATGTAATGTAATGTAATGTAATGTAATGTAATGTATGTATGTATGTATGTAACGTAATGTAATGGAATGGAATGGAATGTAATGTAATGCAATGCAATGCAATTTAATGTAATGTATGTCTGTATGCCTGTGTGTGTGTCTGTATGTCTGTCTGTCTGTGTATCTGTATGTATATACGTACTTACTTCTGTATGAATGTATGTATATCTGTGTGGGTGTGGAAGTTACATATATATATATATTAATATATATATATTATAATTATTATGTCTATAGTAACATTACATCATGAACCGTAGCGCGGTGCAAAATGCAGTGCTTGTCAAATTCTTGCCGTTGTCTGGCGCTGCTGAACACGTCTCAGAAAGGCCAGGAAATAGAGCAAGGGAGATACGGAGATCAAATCCACACCGTACGGATTCGGTTCACCTACTTCCTCCAAGCATGTATGATCATGATTAATCACGTATATTCTCTCTTTCTTGAAATGTCTTCAAAGCAATATCTTCAAGTTGTCAAGTCATTCAAACATATTCAGACTCTGCACCAAGGCTGGCACGCGAAGCCCTTGCTGCGTTCGCATGACAGGAGCATCAGTCGCTACAGCCTCCTCGTGACATGTTCATGTTTCCTCCTAACATCTTCATAAGGGCCCCCCCAAAAAAAAAAAACGAACTACATCCAACTATTTACTTTGGTTTGGGATGGTTTGGAAGAAGGAATGAAAGGAAATAACGGTTGACTGTAAGAAGAGGCATGGCCCAGGACACCCGATACTTCAGGCTTCTCCCCCAATACATTTGCTAAAGCAAAGCTACTGTCACTGTAGCTTTCATGACTTTATATATTATATATTGGTTTTTATTGGTGGGCCATCTGTTTCAAAATCTGGACGTCTTCTGCCGCTGAACTCAACACGGTCAGCAACTGCCAGCAACTGCCAGCAACTATCAACGCGGGTCTTAGCTCAGGCACTGCGAGGTGCTTGAAGATCTCCCCGGTGGACACATCTCCCGTAGCCGTAGCCTGGCAATGGCATGTCGTAATCTACACCCCACCGCCGATCATTTCAGACCAAGCCTGGCTTCGAGATATGCTTCGACATGCTTCGACATGTGGCACAACTTTCAACATCTTTCAGCACTAGACTCGTGGTTGCTTAACCTGTGATGATCCTGTCATGATCCATGGGCTCTTTTTTCTATAGCAAGAGATACCGGTTGTCAAAACCGCAAGCTCTTTGACTTGCCCCAAGAGTTACCTGATGTTACCAGAATCATCTGGAGTCCTTTGTCCCTCACGACAACTGACCGCAGTCCGAGATCATGACTGGCTGGGAGGTCTTGCCAGACTGAGATCCTACTGCCTCAATCTTCTTGACAATGTCCATAGTCTCAGGCGTCACGCTGCCGAAAACAACGTGCTTGCCATCCAGCCACTGGGTCTTCACGGTGCACAGGAAGAATTGGGAGCCGTTGGTGTTTGGGCCGGCGTTGGCCATGGACAGAATGCCTGGGCCGGTGTGCTTCAGAGTGAAGTTCTCATCTGCAAACTTGGCACCATAGATGGACTCGCCACCAGTGCCATTTCCGGCTGTGAAGTCACCACCCTGCCCAGCAAGAATCTGGCACATGATGGCACATGATGGCGCATGATGGCGCATGAATCGACATAGATGAGGCAAACATGGGTCAAGCAGAGCCACGCCAGGCTGCTAAAATGCAAGGAAAGAACATTGGAAAACTTTGCAATCCTCTGTGGCCATCTGTAGCCTACCTTGACTGGCACACGAACATGCACGCATAAAACCTGCTGTCTTACTATTGAATGGAAGGTCACGCCACACCACATCCCACCATATCAGATCTATGATGTGATGTCTTCTTGAGTCTGCTGGACATAGTCTCGTGTAATTCTCACCTAGTTTCAATTCCCATTGGTCACATGGTTTCACATGGTTTCACGTGGTTTCACATAGTTTCACATGGTTTCACATGGTTTCACATGGTTTCCCTCAATGCCCAATGCTCTCCTGGCACATGAAGTCTGGGATGACACGGTGAAATGCAGAGCCCTTGAAGTGCAAAGGCTTTCCGGACTTACCCATGCCCTTCTCGCCAGTGCAAAGGCAGCGAAAGTTCTCTGCAGTCTTTGGGGCCACATCTGAGCGAAGTTCCATGATGATTCTGCCTGCAGCAGTACCACCAATAGTCATGTCAAAGTAGACCTTTGGGTTCGCCGCCATGATGTCTGAGACTGTCTAGGAGTCTAACAAGCTGCAAGGCTTTGCAAGAGTCAAGATGATTGAGCCAAATCGTACTGGTGAAAAAAACACGGCCCCCCCTGCCTGAAAAATGATGAAGGGCGCTTCATGACACTTCAAGTCTTCCGTTTCACGTTGCGTCCGTGTTGTTTGGTTTCTTTCAAACCTTTTTCCCTGCCGTACTGAATAATGTGGATATGTGGATCTATCTGCACTCAAAGCTCTGACCACTAAGGCACTTTCTCACCCTTGCAGAAACCAAGCCGGACAGAGTAAGCACTGCTTTGATGGAAAAGTTCAGTGGTTGCTTAACCTGTGATGATCCTGTCATGATCCATGGGCTCTTTTTTCTATAGCAAGAGATACCGGTTGTCAAAACCGCAAGCTCTTTGACTTGCCCCAAGAGTTACCTGATGTTACCAGAATCATCTGGAGTCCTTTGTCCCTCACGACAACTGACCGCAGTCCGAGATCATGACTGGCTGGGAGGTCTTGCCAGACTGAGATCCTACTGCCTCAATCTTCTTGACAATGTCCATAGTCTCAGGCGTCACGCTGCCGAAAACAACGTGCTTGCCATCCAGCCACTGGGTCTTCACGGTGCACAGGAAGAATTGGGAGCCGTTGGTGTTTGGGCCGGCGTTGGCCATGGACAGAATGCCTGGGCCGGTGTGCTTCAGAGTGAAGTTCTCATCTGCAAACTTGGCACCATAGATGGACTCGCCACCAGTGCCATTTCCGGCTGTGAAGTCACCACCCTGCCCAGCAAGAATCTGGCACATGATGGCACATGATGGCGCATGATGGCGCATGAATCGACATAGATGAGGCAAACATGGGTCAAGCAGAGCCACGCCAGGCTGCTAAAATGCAAGGAAAGAACATTGGAAAACTTTGCAATCCTCTGTGGCCATCTGTAGCCTACCTTGACTGGCACACGAACATGCACGCATAAAACCTGCTGTCTTACTATTGAATGGAAGGTCACACCACACCACATCCCACCATATCAGATCTATGATGTGATGTCTTCTTGAGTCTGCTGGACATAGTCTCGTGTAATTCTCACCTAGTTTCCCATTGGTCACATGGTTTCACATGGTTTCACATGGTTTCACATGGTTTCACATGGTTTCACATGGTTTCACATGGTTTCACATGGTTTCACATGGTTTCACATGGTTTCACATGGTTTCACATGGTTTCCCTCAATGCCCAATGCTCTCCTGGCACATGAAGTCTGGGATGACACGGTGAAATGCAGAGCCCTTGAAGTGCAAAGGCTTTCCGGACTTACCCATGCCCTTCTCGCCAGTGCAAAGGCAGCGAAAGTTCTCTGCAGTCTTTGGGGCCACATCTGAGCGAAGTTCCATGATGATTCTGCCTGCAGCAGTACCACCAATAGTCATGTCAAAGTAGACCTTTGGGTTCGCCGCCATGATGTCTGAGACTGTCTAGGAGTCTAACAAGCTGCAAGGCTTTGCAAGAGTCAAGATGATTGAGCCAAATCGTACTGGTGAAAAAGACACGGCCCCCCCTGCCTGAAAAATGATGAAACAAGGACAGGGTACTAACTGAACATTTGTTCTGGAGCATGTGTACCGCCACATAGCTGAATGGCTTTTTGGTCAAGCATCAAGCGCATCATAGCGCATCATAGCGCATCAAGCATTTGTTTTTTCCCTCTATCACAACGGTATCACAACGGTTGCATGTTGCAGCAATGTTGCATGCCATCTTAGATCGACCATTGTGGTGGACCATTTCGGCTCCCAGTCCCCAGCCTGAGGGCTCAACTCTTTCTGCACGTAGTCCGCGACGTGCTTCTCCCTCATGAAACGGACCTTCATTGCGGTGCTGCTTGGCAAAGTCTCATTCAGAGGTGGATCCCTCTGTCTGACCGTAGCGTTCAGATTCACATAGTATAGTTGGCCCTAGATGATGTTTCTGCCAGCTTTGATCAACTTCCCATGTGTTTTTAACTTTCTTCACGATTCTTCACACTTGGTAGGTCGTAGATGGTTGTAATTGGTCGTAAGGTGTCTGTTGTGTGCTGAGAGTGCCACCCGGTTCAGCACTGTCCGCGAGGCTTCGAAATCATCCTGTAGCAACTAAGAACCACCACCGATCTGTCTCAAACCATCATCTGAAAAAAAAAAACATGAGAAAACCTTAGCTTCAATACATTTCAATACGATTCCCAGCTGACATCAGCTGACATCACTCCGACAGTTCAATTAAAGCTTGGCTGGTCCACACTGTTTGACCGTTTGACCGTTGGCCTCAAAAAACTTACTGAGAGGCAGCAGCGTGGCCTCAGGTCCCGACATGGTCCCGACATGGCATCATTAGCTCATGACAGCTGGACCCATGGGGCATGTTGGGACATTCAAGGCAGGGCAAGAAAAAATAAGAAAAGGGGGTTCCCAAGGCTCCACTGGTGACTCCGCAGCCTTAAACACAACTTACAATCTCAAACACAACATTATGACTAACCTATTTAACATATTTAACCTATGACAAAATTATACCAAACTTTGACAAATGGGATACGGGTCCAATGTATCCTGTGCGTAGCAGAAAGAAAAAAGACAGGCAAGTTTAAGCGACATAGGTGCCGGTGTGGAGAAGTGCAGATGGAACAGATGGATCCGAAAAAACATGGAGTCGGCGAAGAACAAAAAAGAAGGACGGTCTGGACATCCACCAAGCCGCAACAGAGGTTAAACCATGTTAAACCAACATCAAGAAAATTAATGTAAACATCGGATTAATCAACCCCCCCACAAGGTCAGATTGACCTTGGAAGGTCTTTCCTAGTTTCATCCCTAAATAAATGCCCTCTGAACCATAAAATTGTGGATATGGCTTGGAATCTATAGAAGTCAATTAGATGTTCATAGAATTCCATTGGATTTGATGAGATTTGATTGACTGAAAACATTGGCTGAAAGCTATGGAGGACATTGGGAATGAATGGGATTGAATGGGCCAATCCAAAGAAGAAAACATTAGGGACATGGGGGTTGATTAAAAAGGGGAACCCTGGTTATTATTAATGGGGAACATGGGCGAACATGGGCTCATGGGAGACACCCTTTGGGAGCTATCCGATGATTTTTATAAAGAATCTAATTAGAAATCGATCACTTGGGGAATAGTTTTTTTTCATGTTCAATGATCAGAAGTGATAGGTTCTGGTGTTCATGAGGTTTCAACTTAAGTATAGCATAAGGAAACCATTTGAAAATAAAGAGAGTTGGAAAATAAAACGAAACCATATTTCAACTTAAACCTCAAGTATAACAATGATGAGTTCTGAGATTGATGAGACATGATGACAAACAACAAGAATTGGGATTTCAGCACTGGTGGTTGATTAATTAGGTCCAGGCAAAAGAGTTTGTTAATCCAGGGGGGCCAACTGTTTTTAAATTACCCATTTTTTGGGGGGCAGTAGAGGTTGTTTAATCGGGCGGTATTGATTAATCCTACCTTGACATTAGATAAAAACGTATGAAAAATATACGTATGGCACGCACAAAAAACTGAACACAAAGCTGAACAAGTACTGAATTCAGAGCCAAGACATAATGGAAGAGATTAGAGTAACAATAATGTACAGCACCCTGCCTGGTGAGTAGATGTCCTTTTCTGAATTGTATTTTGGTGCCTGTCTGATTCGTTGATCCTTGTTCATCTTTGGATGTTTCTCAGTTCATACCTTCCTTTGTCTCTAAGATACTGTAAGATACTGTAAGATACTGTAAGATACTGTAAGATACTGTAAGATACTGTAAGTACTTGCAAACTCGTTCAAGCTGTCAGCAATTTGGGCATCCAAAATGGTCCAACATCAACCGTGCATGCGCAGCGGCACCTCGGTGTCATAAGAGCTGAAGAGGAAGATGAGAAACACAACGGCCGGAATGAAATAGAAAACCGCTACCTGGCGCGTGGGCCAAACATGGCCAAACATGGCCAAACGAAACATTTCTGCAATTTGCACATCGATGTCTTGCAGCTGACATTTCAATAAGATTCACCATGATTCACCGAAAATACGTCTGCACTGGCCTGGTGAGCATCATGCAGGACGTTTGCTGCCATAAGCTTCCTGGAAACGATTTGACTTGGAGAATCAGATGTTACGGAGATTCTCTGCGATTTCCAGCTGCATTTTACTGCCATGAATGGCTGCTGAAATGTGGTCCGCTTGGGTGTGTCTTTCCACATTTTCCCTGCAAGAGATCTGTTGACATCTGCTGTTTCGGAATGTGCGGTGACAGGGCGGTGACAGGGCGGTGACAGTTGTGAAAAAAATGTGGAAATGATGTGGAAATGCAAGGCATTGCAAGGCGCACTCTGCGCTGCTCGCCAAATCACCCAGCTTCACAAGGTGAAAGCACTCACGGTGTGCCTCGGCAAGTGTGGTGTCATTTTGGTGTCACTCCGAGGTTTCCTAGTGGCATCTAGTGGCCAACATTGGCGGCCAACGGCCCACTGGCCTTGCAGATTTTTCAGATCCATTCCGTCAGTTGGTGCAGTCTGTTCCTCTGGTGTTCAAATCTATGCTGAATCTCATCACGTAAAATGGCCAATCAGTGCGACATGCTGAGGACAAAGCAAGCCAAATGTTCATAATGAAATGAGGCAAGGCGTTCACCAAGCACCAGAGCAGCAACCGAAAAAGAGAGTCCTGGCAGCAGCCCTACAGCAGCTTGAATCGATTTTGGATGATATGAATAGCATGGAGACTGTAAATCCCTGCAAGAGTGAGAAATATTCATCACAGCAACCACATGAAAATTGAAGAACCAGCATGGATTCCTATAAAATTTATAGAGTTGTGCCGAACTATATTGAGTGATTGAGTTAGACCGAGCTCATTTGCATCTCAAGCAATCACACACCATGCCGCACCTGTGAAGGGAGCAATGGCTCAAAAGAAATCAACAGATCGTGCTTCAAGAGCTGGTAGTAGAGGCGGTGGTTCAAGACCATGCGTGCCCTTTGCTGCTTCTGCTTCAGAAGGCTTCACTCATCTCTCCGTCTCTCCATGAATGAGAAAAGATGAGAAAAGCCAGGGATGTCATTGTGATTCCATGTGATTTCCGACGCTTTGTGACTAATTAACCGTGACTAACCCTGAGTCTTGCAAATGCACTGAGACCGAAGCGCGATCATCAGCGAGACAGCCATGGCCAACAATGGAAAGCAGCGAACATAAGCCTGCACCGAAAACTCCAGAAAAAATAAACATCATAATTTTATTGAATCATTGATCCGTTCTGTCACAGCGAGAAATACTTCCGGGATGAGGAAGCTGGCAAAGGAAACAAAATAAACAAATGACACTGAACAGGGGCTCACCTGGCTATCTGCTATACCTCACCAGCTGTACCATTGGTATCCATTGGTACTATACCAGGACCATGCAATGGGACTGCACCGGCTATACCCCAGACATCCCCAAACATCCCCAGACATTGCATAGGCCCATAGGCTCCCATCCGTGGTGATCCCAGCATGTCTCCAACCCAGTTGCGATGGCCCGAAGCCTTGGTGTACTCGCAGAAAAAGGATAGATAGGTCCCACACCTGCACACGTCAAGACACTTCATCTCCCAGGAAACAATTTCAAACGGCTCAACGTTTTTCGATATAATGTGAAGATTGACACTTGCTCCAAAGTCTCCATGTACAATGTGAAGTGGCAACAGTTAGTGTCGGTCATGTTCGAAATGATTCCGAGAATAGCATAGCATCGCCATAGAATCACCATGAAACTTTCATGGAACTCTATGCCCGCCTAACAGGATCACAGTTCATGATGTTTTCATGAGAGTGAGGTCCCAGTACCTGGCGTCACTGGGCAAAGCCGGGCAGATACCAGTCCCATCCAGTCCCTGAATTGTCCGGGACCAGACACGCCGAGATAAGGCTAGCTAGCGGGGCCTTTTGATGTCGTTTGAAATTTGAAATGATATTGTATATATTTTTGATGTTGAATCTTTCGATGGTCCACGTTGCACATTGTTGCACAAATGGAGACGTTTCGAATCGTTTCGAGTTGACGACAATGCGACTACAATGAGCCCAGGCCTGAATGATAATCAACAGCAATGCAAAGAGCTGCCGCCCTCGGCAAATGGCAGTGACACTGCCAGTGGAGAATAATTAAAACGTAATGTAGTAGCTATCTATATATATATAAATATATCTTCACTGTCATCTTTGATGATACGTTTTGGTTTGCAGATGTTTGCAGCCAAATCCTCTTGAATTCTGATAGCAAGATGCATCAAAATCATCAAACATTTCCCAATCATTTCCATTCATTTCCAACCGAATGCTGAGCCTGTGCTGAACCACTGAGCCTAGTGCCAGCTGCCAGGCCAGCTTCAAAGAAAAGCTGCAACGGTTCCCTGGCACAGCTGCAGAAATACTGAAGTCATCTGAAGTCATACTTTGCTTTTGGGATGTTTTGGGATGTTTTGGGTCTTAGGAAGAGTTCTACTCAGCAATGCGCTGTTCTGAGAATTGGGAAATTGATGGAAATTGGGAAATGCATGGAAATGCCCTGGACATCCCTGGACAAACTGCATGAACGACGTGCTGCACAATGTTTTGCATTGCACGCTGCACCCTCGATGCTCCCAGGTTGATCTTTTCACTTCAGTCGCTCCGTATCCATTGCTTCCATTGCTTCCGGCAGCCTGGAGGCGAAAATCAGGAAAGTCATGAAACCCACACGGAATGGGAATGTCAGAAGCATAATGAACCAATAGAATCACATAGAATAACAAAGAACAACAAATAATTACAAATACGAGCAAACAAAATCATCAAAATCAAACAAGCAAACCATGAACTGTAGGAAACCCGTTCGAAATGATCTCCATCATTCCCTTGCCTGCAAATCTTTCCAAAGCTTCTCCTGTCCGGTGAGAAGATGTTGGGTTTGTGCTGTTTTGCTTGGGTCGAGATTATATAAGATTGTCAAACCATGTCACATCTTTGATCTTTCGGTCATCTTTCGGTCATCTTTTCACAATTTTTCACATCTTCCCTTCCCTCTCTCACCTCTCGGCCGAGGCTAAGGCGGTATGGGAGCCGCATGTCCCAGCTACATTTGGCCCCTAGGAGCCAGGTCTTGCCAGGTCTTGCCAGGTCTTGCCAGGTGCTGCGTGTATCGCAGTGTCAACGCCCCTTGCCCCTCGCAAGTTCCAAGCTCCAGCGCAACGACACCACAGTGACACCACATGAAACAGCGGCATGTGATAACACATGGCATCACATGGCAATACAGACATCGTTTTTGCGCTGCCTCTTCGCGGAGTGTTCTCATGTTTTGTAGCTCGCTTTTCTTCGAGCCCTTCTCTTGAACTGATTCTCTAGCACTCTAGGGCAATAGGTCGTGCAAAATCAATTCTACTTTCTGAAGCCTCTAAACGATGCACTGTACATGGCCAAATCAAGGATTAAGAGCATGCAATGTCAGCCTTCTGCGGCAGCATTCCAAGGCACGCTAAGGTCTGACAGGTCTAAGATGGCAAGATTCAGTCAGGGCATTGTTCACACTAGGGCCTAAGCCTAATGAGAAGCAACCTGCCCATGCCATATCTGCCCATACAAATCCATCCAATATATCCAGTTTTATTTCTGCAAGCAGTCTGTTCCAAAGAAGCTAGCACAGAGCGCTTGCTCAGATTCCAAAGCCTTTGGAATCCATGATTGCATTCCTGACAGCATCAGCCAAGCTTAGAAAGCAAAGGCACCAGTCGCCAGTGGCTAATCATGGCTAATCATCACCTTCCTGTGCACATACTCCAACCTAGCAGATCACATGACACAGCCTGAGATAGTGACATATAGTCACTATATAGTCACTATATAGTCTCACTACAGTATATAGTCTCACTATAGTCGTATAGATATCATAGTCATATAGTAATTTAGTGATCACATGAACTGCGGCTTCGGCACCAGATGGAGCACGGTCGGTACGTGCAAGAACTTGGGCCTCCTTGATCGATCTCACCTCAGCACACATTACAAGAGGAAAAAATAGTGTAAAATATGAACAATGACGGTCAGATATGACGGTTAGATATGCTCGACTCATCCCTTAGACATGAAGGCAGGCACACTGAGAAAACGGGATGATGAAATAATATGAAATAATGGCAACCAGCAAATAAACTGCAACCCAAGAGCCCCAACACATACGTAAAAACCAATAAATTCAATAAATAAATATCCAATCAAAATGAACCAATCCATGTCACACGCCACCCTATCTTTAATCTGCTGCATCGCACACTTCCATCACGACCTGCCTCCAGGCCGGTTTGAAAGAACTCATTGGTCTTCCATGTCTTCCATGTCTTCCTCCTCTTCAAGACGGGTTCGGGGGGTTCCTCAGGATTTGTCCCGACGACGCTGCCACTGTCACCATCGCCTCAGACAAATATGACACATGAGAATCTTATAGAATCTTGTTTCATGAGATTTTCATGAGATTTTCATGAGATCCGATAGATTCCTGCAGCCTGCAGCAAGATGCAGCTCAGTCTATGCATCTCAGGGGCCCAAGTCAAGCGTGTGCATAGTGTCCGTAGTGTCCATAGTGTCCATAGCTCCAGTTTCAAACAGGAACCGTGAAGGCTCTGCTGCCTGTCAAAACGACAAGAAAATTCATATTTGACGGATTTTGACCTGTTTGATCTGCATATTCTTTCACAGCGGGCACGGCGTATCCTTTTGCGGCATTAACGCACATACAAGTACATTGAATATAGAATTATATACACGATATTACACGATCATTCATAATTATACACACGCAGGGTTGCACCTCACCAGAATCTCGCTTCAGAGAGAAGGACAAAACCTGATCTGAATGGCATGGACGTGAAGTGATTGAAGCATCTGGAGATATATGGAGTCAGGTTGCGCCAGGCTGTCCCATCTGGGGCTCGATAAGGCTCAGGCCAACCGATTTCTTGCTCGCGTCATAGCCACATAGAACAGCCTCTGCGGACTCCGCGTAGAATGCTGATGTGGCAGCATGGCAAAACATGTCGACCGGCACAGCACTCTTTGTAAGGTTTGATAAGCCTTGTCAAGAAGTTTCTTTCGTTTCAACATGTTCAAATACGAATTCTTGGCCACAAACACACTCCAATCACAAGGAGGCACAAGGATGGGCCGCGCAGTTCACTTCAATTTTGTCATTCCGTGGGGCCAATGATCTTGAATGAGTCAAATGAGATCAAATAAATCCAAATGAATCATCTCAATATGTGCCACATGCCATGGCCACATCAGGCATTTCGCTCTGTGAGGCGGTGCCAAATGGACCCCTCTGTGACGCTCACATCTCCTTCTTGCAGCAGTTTATCAGTTTGTTTGCTGTCTGGGATGAACCACGGCAGCAGAAGGAGCACAAAGGCCGGTAGGATTGAAGAGAGCGCAGCACACACCCAAAGGTTTTCAAATTGCGCGGATTCGTCCTGCAAATGCAAACACATGCAAACAATTGCGAACACTATCCAATACTCCCCCGGAAAGGCGTTGCTGAGGTTCCAGTCAAGAGCACTTTGTTGAACAGAAAGCCAACAAGCAACTATCAAGCAACTTATCAGTTTTTTGCAGATGTGACATGCAATATCATCTGCCAAATCGAGTGGCTACTAAGCTACTAGCTACGTCAAGATCGCTGAGATTCCCTAAAAAGTCATAAGTTCTAAGAAAGTGTCATCACGTGGTTCAGTGATGTTCAGTTTGGTTCAGTCCTTTGCACCAGAAGGCTGCACTTCCAGGACCTGAAGCACCCACGCACCCGTCGCAGATGATATGGTGCCTCCCAAATTGTGACAACCTGCGAGGAGTGCATACATGGTGGCTTCCAAGCCCGGAGGGCAAAGCTGCGACAGAATCACCACACCTGGCCTTGGAAGAAATGACAAAGGCACGTGATGGAAAGGAATAACACGAGAAAAGACCATCTCTATGGGTGGTGCAATGCACTATATTAAATGCATAATATTATATATGTGTGCGTGTGTGTGTGTTGTTATTATTATTATTAGGATGATTTCAAGCATGCCAGGGTCTTCCCTAGACCCAGCCGAAATGATTTGGAATGCAAGGCTATCATGTGCTATCATAATAATTAATCAGTAGATATGAATATAATATATATATGACATATCCGATATACTGTGATACAGTGATATACATATATAATTATATATCATTATATACCCTGAATCCATTGTTTTTTCCGATAGGTCTCAAGCCAAGCTTCATCCACTGCCACTGACTCAAGATGCTGGCGAAGACATTGGAGCCAAGGATGAAGGCATGGTCCGGGATGCCGATGCGCACATTGAGACGGAGGAAGAAAACAACGTCCGAAATACTCAAAATGCAAATGGCAACGTTGCTGACCAACAGCAGCTGTCGGAATGTCCATTCACTGGCATACTTCTGGTAGGTGTAAATGCCAAGGAGGGAGCAAATGGAACCTGCAACTCCAAGGACTGTGGTATAGAACACCATGGAGAAGTGTGGACCTTGCAGGGCCGAGCTCGCATGTCACTTACACCTTAAGATCCTTAAATATCTGAAATCATTGATGTGGAAAGAATATCATGAAACTGGCCCGGGCATGTCCGTACAATGTCTAGAGTCTAGATTTTGGCGTATGGGTCTCATGCAACATGGCTCGAGACTGGAAAACGCATGAAGCCACCTTCTGGATATTGTTCCTTGGTGTCAGTGTAGAAGTAAAAGGCGGCGCCACCAATTGAGAAGTTGACGGAAGTCTGCAAGACAAAGAAGGTATTGACTTTCGCGATTTCTGGTCGAAGCAAAATGCTGAAGGAAAGTAGGATCATCACTGCAATGGCGATCGAAGCCATCGCATTGGCCCTGACACTGAGCATCGTCCCGAAATAGGACAAGACCATGGTGGCGGCGAGCATCAAGACACACAAGATACAAGCTTCCTTCTGACGTAGAATGGCACTTCGAGCAGTTTGCACCTCTTGCCAAGTCAATCGCTTCTCTTGCATGTAGCCCCGTAGAACAGGCACAATGACAATGCTCGCAGGCACCAAAGTCACCAGGAATGGCAGCTTCGGGCCGAAGGCGGAAAGAATCGGCCCTATCCTCAGAAAGCACATGAAAGCTGAGAAATGAAAGCAAAATACAAACATTTATTTTAAAAAAATTGTTTACAAAAACATTTTACAATGTCTAAAGATTGTATCAAGAGATTCAATAGAGCCATTCATGCCAGGATTGGAGATTGCACAGATAGGAAAAAGATGAAAACGTAAAAATAAAAAGGATAATCCCAGGGTTTTTTTAGTGCTTCCTGACGGTTTGGGTCATCTTGGGTCATCTTGGGTCATCTTGGGTCATCTTGGGTCATCTTGGGTCAGGGAACACCACCAGCAAGCAGCAGTGACCAGTGAATGGCTTAGGAAATCCCTTGAGTCAAGGAGCAGCCCATGACATAATCTAAATATCATGACTCAGTTGCACATGTCCGCAGATTGGCCCACAGACCTGGAGGAATATGCTTTTTGTTTATGAAATTTTCACAATGGACAATGGAATGCTGTATTCTCTACGACGTGATCGATATATGTACAAAGCAGCTTCAAGGCAGCTGAGCTGGGGCAAATTCACTTGAGGCTCTTCCAAACGCATCCCAAGCCCAAGAGTGATGCTTAGCTGAATCCTCCCTGCATCAAAGATTCAAAAGAGTAGCACAAAGACCACCCATCTGAAGGCCAAACCAAACGTATGACATCAAAGCAGGTCCCTCTTTGGGTTTGGTTTGCATCTTTTCCGCATACTTTGCCTCTGTGAGAAGGTCCGTAGTCGAGAGTTGCAGCTGAATCAGGAACAAACAACCCACCAAACTTGTAACGCTCAGAGAGGTCTTGGGCACTAAGCCAATGGTCGTCATCGCTGAAGTTCCAAGTATCGCAACAAGAAGAATGTAGGGCGACTTGTTGTAGCCAAAGATTGGAACGGTGTCACTAAGGAGTCCAATCATAGGTTTCATAGCCCAGGGCAAGTGTGTGACACCCCGGTAGATTTGCATTTGAGGCCCTGGCACCGTATAGCTGCGATACAAATATGCGATGCAAGGCGCAGTAAATTCGTTCACGAAACCTTTCATCAGATGCTGTGCAACGAAGAGCATGATCAGAAGTTCATGGCCAAAGCTGCTTTCCAAACGCTGCATGTAGCACCCGAGGCCAAAGCCATCTCTCAGCCCAGATACAGACAGCTTGGGTTTGGAAGTATTGGAAGTCTCCAACAAAGGGGATTCTTCATTTTGGCCTTTTTCGAAATCATCATCGTCAAACGGTTCAGAGGAAGAAGCTGGTTTGCCACCACGCTTCATCATGGCGACATTATCGTCCGGTGGCGTGAAAAGAGGAAGCGCCCGACTGGAGCCAAGCGCTGACGGCGAACATGTGGAACTGTGTCAAGAAGCGTGCTTTGGAAGTCAAGCTTCGCAAGGATTCTGTTAAGGAGATCTCAGAATGGAAAAAAATGTACCACCGTTTGCATTCGCTAATGTACGACCATCAAGACTGAACAGAATTCGGATTCTTGATCCAAGTGGCCGTCGCTCTTCTTCCAGCTGTTCATCGGCCATTTGCATACCCTGCCTAAACGTACCGAAACAAAAGGTGAAGAATGTCTGTTCTTGATTTTTTTCGATTTATGCGTTCCTTTCTTTCGGTTTGATCAAAGCTGTCTGCAACAGGTAGCTTGGCCATGCTTGGCCTCTGCAGCGGCATAACCATCTCATTGCACTGCACCAGGAAGACTGTATCCCACTCAAGTCCTGACACATCACAGTTTGCCAAACAGGACAGCCTTCCCTGAGATTTGCCGCACTTCATTATAAATCCATACCTACCAATGTATATACATATATATATATATACATAGGTCCATACAGGCTCTTTTTATTGAATGATTGCAAACAACGCACCCCCCACCAAAAAAAACTTAATGTTCATGACACTTGAACTGCTTATTGCAGAATCTCTCACTGGCAGCACGGTAATCGGGAGTCCATCAGGTCCTTTGGCCTGATGTATCGTGCTGACCTTGCAGCTCTGTGATGGTTCGATGATCAGGCCACTTTGCCGCATGCCTGAATCAACCTGTGAAACTAGATTCAACTATAGATGTAGGATGTTGTAAAATGTTGTAAATTTAATATGTTGTAAAATGCTGTAAATACCTGAAGCATCCTGTAACCATCTGCAACGAGCTGAGAAGCAAAGACAGAGCTCGTCGAGGCAGCATGCCCGGAGCCTGATCGCGACACATCGTGACAGACTCTGACAACTTCCGGACAGCTCTATTTAAAATGCTCAAACATGCTCAAACACAAAAGAATGCGCGAACATGTACATAACATGTACATAACATGTACATAACATGTACATAACATGTACATAACATGTACATAACATGTACATGTGCACAGCATGATTGTACATGTGGACAGCTTATCTATGCCGAAGCCACACAACCACAGCCTCTTGGTGCCATCTCTTGCAGGAAACGAACCACACAGGCAGCTCCATTTTGTCCATCCTCGGCTGAGGCTAACCAAGATCTGTACAGATCTGTACAGTACCTATCTACGGGTAGTACCAATGATCTTTTTTCCCAGGAAGATAGGATGAACCATGATGAACGCTGAAGCATTGGCTGCATAGTTCCACGCCCTATCGAAGCTATGATCAAAGCTTTGCACGGCGATGGAACGCGGAGCTGAAGATAGATTAAGATAGCTGAAGCTCGAGCAGCTCGGCGCAATCAAAACTGAGTTGTCAGCAACATATTTCTCGGCAGCTGCCATCAGCTGGAGGGCTGTTGGGGATGCCGGGGATGCCTGAGTTCACACATAGACACGACATGCAAAAGAGTACATCTTTGAGCACAAAAGACATGCAGCAATGGCATAGCCACCAAGATCACCAAGGTTGTGAGCCAACCTACTTCAATACCTCCTATCTCATGAGATCATATGTCATATGTAGTGAGATTTAGTCATATTTGTTATTTATCCAATGTCTGTTCAATGTGTACTATACAGTTCTTTACATATGGGGATTTGTATCCCCGTGTCTGTGCATATTGTGCATACAACATCTCACGGTGTATCTGCAGTCACTGGCTCTGCGCCTCAGTAGACTCAGATTTCCGCCCAGAGCCTGGCCGCCATGTGAGCTGCGACAAGAACACGGCCGGAAAGCAAAACTCCGCAGAATTTCGATGAGATTCAAACATTCAAACAGTGTGACTGCACTGTGTTTACTTCATCCTTGCTCGTGATCTTTGTGCTCCATGTTTATGAAATTTTAAGAACCTAATTATCCACTATTATCCACTTCATGTATATTCGCCACATGGGTACGTATATAATTTCTATATAATTTTGTATATATTATATACTGTACACATGATATCATATGATATCATATGATCCAGTGGTGAGCTTTGGCTAGCTAGTGTTTCTGTGTTTCTTTGGACATTTTGTGTGGATGACCTCGGTTGACCGTTGGAGCACTGGATAGCCCTGGCCTGTTGCTGCTTTGGCCTCTGTCCCTGCCGATATGCTTCCGCTGCTTCCGCTTCCCAGGCCAGTCTCCACCAGAATCACGCGCAAGACGTCAGCAGCACCGTGTTCTGCCTCTGGTGATCGCTGAGGCATGGCATCAAAACAAATCGGGTGCTGTTCTGACCCAGATCTGGGAGATTCTTTGAGGCATCTGTCTTTGAGACTCGAAAGGAAGTTGCACTGAGGGAAAAGGCCAGCTATGGCGAGGTATGGCGAGCTACAGCCACCCAAAAGCATTGACAAGGCGGCAACTGAAGAGAACTAGGCAAGTCCTGAAAGATATTGACACACACACACATGGAAACCATGAAACTATCTGAAACTATATGAAACTGCTCGACAGATCTCAAGAGCAGTGCGTGACCCAACTTTGCTTCCGACTGCAGCAGCACGACGCGCTGCACGGAGCACAGCTGCCAGCTTGGCCAAACCTTCACACGACAAATTCCTGCGTGACTAGAGTCACTAGAGGAACCGAAAGCAAGAGTTTAACATGTTTAACATGTTTAATACACTATCTTACAATACGCTTGAGAACAAGCAGCCAAATGAAATCAAACTCTGAATGCAAACTGTAGGGCATGTGGCGGCTTGTGCCTTGTGCCAAACGCATACTGGATCCCAGCCAAGGAGCCTGCCAAGTCTGACGCTTTACCCTTTTTTTTAACCCTTTGAAAGATTGCGAGCGGATGAGAAGGGATGAGAGTTGCTTAGCTGCTTGGCATAAAAATCGACTCGGAGTCTCGGAGGCCAAAAAGTGCATTATGCTATGCTGCTACTAGCTCATGCAAGCTGCTATGCTGCATTATGCTGCCATGCGCACGTCTGGAAAATCTGGAAAGTGAAACTCGGCAGCACTTAATATACTTAATTCTAGAAAAAACGGATCCAAAAATTACCAAAACTATACGACTCAGTCGAAGGAAACTAAACCCTCTCTCTCATATGTTTGGACCATTTTGTGTGAACTTCATCTCGCATTTGGAAAGGTCGCCTTCAATAATCGGCCCATCGCGCCCTCAAAAGATCCTGACGCTGGTTCACCGTCTACGCCTTGGTGTCTCCCATGCACACGAACATCACAAACTCCCGGGGCAAATGCTGCACATATGCTGCACAAATTTGTGCATTTCCGTGCCACGCCTTTAGGAATGAGCCCGCGTGCACCACTTCCCAGAAGCGATCACACGAAAACATCACTTCAGTTGCGGTTTGAACTTTCTGCCGGTGATCGGGGATCTTTCATGCACATCAGGGATCGCGTGTGAAACCCATATCACACAAATGAACACACTGAACATATTTGAAAACGAAATCGCTTCCATTTCCCTTCCGTCAAACTATTGAAGAAAACACCAGAAATAGATGGGGGGGCTATACACAGACTATTGCCCAAAAGTGGCCGTCCAAGAACCAAGATTACTTGATCAAATATGCCGCGCTCCTCCCAAGAAAACAGGAGAAATGTGTGGCAAATTTGTCTGCACTGGGGCAGCAATTGAGCGTGTAGTGACCCATCATGTAAACTTGGGCAGCAACCTCCTGCGAGGCTTCTGGCACGCAGCGCTGCCTTGATAGAATGCATCTCAAGTTATTACAAATTAATACAAATCAATTAGTTAATGCATAAGATGTGCATAAGTTATTGTATTCGTTTTCTGCAGAGCACTGCAGAAGATCTGTACAGCACAGGTTTTCAGACTTGGTCCTTTCATGCTCTTTCTGGTCTCAGAGGTTTGACGATCAATGCAGAACTGGGCCGAACTAGGCCGAACCTGCTCCACATTCAAATCCTCGACTGCCTGGAACGTTGACCTGACTCTGTGAAGCTCTCATGAAGCTATATACCTCTTCTCAGTTCAGACACGCTTTGTATTTGGACCCAATTTCAGAAACTGACCAGGCTTTCTTGCCAACTTTCACAGCTTTTCCGTCAGGTCCGTCAACTCCGCTGTTTCAGCAGTTTCCTCTGACGAGGCTCCGAGGCTCAAGCAACGAAGTTTCTGCAGGAGCCCCAAACTGCTCACGAAGGCACCGCAACGCTGCCTGCAGTAAATTTCCTTCAACCGGAAGACATGCTCCCGCAACGAGCCCAATAAGATTGCCAGATGAAAGGAAAATCAAGTGGAATGCAGTGGGTCACATACCACATAGCGTCTTCCGGATGTGAGATGTGCACTGATGCCTACTGATGTGCACTGTCTAAATGAACCAATCTTTTTTCCTGGTTTACAGCCTACGGTGACTTTTCCTCCACTGGATGAACCTAGCGTTGCTGCAAGATTCAACGGAAACGCTGCTTTCATGAAACGCAGACGTAAGATGGCGAGTCTTCAATTGGATGATTGATTAATTAGGTGCTTGCATGTTTTAATTCATTGTGTTTATTATCTCTTCTTCCCGCCACCTGAGCTTGGATTTGAGATGGTGCAGTCGCAGACTCACGAGCCCCCGCGTCTAAATGCCGGTTGAATACTTTCGGACACCATAAAATCCAACCGAACGAACCCCTGACGACGATACAATTACTTAGAATATCATTGATATATTAATATATATATATGACGTCCCTCCTCTCTGACCTCAAAGCGCTCAAGCGCGCCATTTTCCTCAGACCACAACGCAAGTTGTCTCGAATTGCAGCTTGATGTAAAGGCACGGCATCTTCCCAAGGCGGCAAAACCAGATGCTGGCTGTCAAAATCAAGCAGTTGCGCGCACAGAGATCCAAAAAGGGTGGGGGTGAAGCCCAGGGCGGGCCTGTTGATTCTGCGGTCAACCCGAGTCATGAGTCATGGTGAACATGACGTCCCTCCTCTCTGACCTCAAAGCGCTCAAGCGCGCCATTTTCCTCAGACCACAACGCAAGTTGTCTCGAATTGCAGCTTGATGTAAAGGCACGGCATCTTCCCAAGGCGGCAAAACCAGATGCTGGCTGTCAAAATCAAGCAGTTGTGCGCACAGAGATCCACCTATGCTGCAGGCCTGAGTGAGGAAAGCAAACACGAGGTGCTAGCAGGGGGCTAACAGTTTGCGGTCCAAGGGCGGTCCTCAGGTGCACTTGAAGGCTCCAAGCGACGAGTCAAAAAGAGCTGCTAACAGTTGAATCATGTGCCTAGAATGAGGAGAGAGTTTGCCAACAAAGGTCTGACAGGCCACTTCCTGTACGTAGTTTTCCAGCGTTCCTAAATGTTGGATCCGCATTCTCCAAAGCAGATTTGTGAGGTTTGCTGAACGCTGATATTCATACACCGCGCCTCCCGCACGCAAAGACCCTGGAGTGAGATTATGTTCTTTCAAGATCCCTAGGTGTTGACAGATTGCATTCCATCGTCTTCTGAAACTGCTTTCGGAGATGGGATACAGAAGAGCATCATGAGGGGTCTGACCGAACACTTTACGCAAAAAGTTACAAATCTCTTCAGAGTCTATGGAAGCATGCTGGATTCTACCTTTACCCCTTCTACGTGACTTCGGCTCTCGGATTCGGAAGTAGACTTTGCTATGCTGATCACTAAGGAGGTCTTCTGGCAAAACTAGGTCAGCACGCGTGCCACGTAAAACTTCTCCAGGACGAGTTATTCCATAAAAAGCTAAAACTATGGCACCAGCAAATCTAAACCACTTCCAACTCAGCGCAACCATGGTCATAGACTTTAGGACTCCTAAAGGCAAAGGGACACGATGCACTGGTGGTTCTACCAATTCCCATTTCTGAATGAGATCCCAGCAGATTCCTAGATACGGTCGAACTTCGATCTGACTTTTCTGGATATAGACAACCAGGTGGCGTAGAATATACAGTGACTTGCCGGTAGAGAAAAGATGGTTGCCAAATTCTTTGACAAGCATTGCACACAAAACTGGGTTCTGCCGAATACTACTGGCTGCGTTTTTTCCAAGTTCTCCATTGCTCCATTGGACAAACCATTCCCAGATTTTGCTCTGCAGGGCCTGAGTTCTTGCTGAAATCAACGACACGTTCTCCAGCAGAAAATCACGATTTTGCTTCGGTCCTGGGTTCAGGGCTTCTCCAATCCTAAGGGTATTGCATCTTGCGAAACAACTGGAGGAAAACTTGGCAGGCTTACTGATTATGTTGGCACTAATCATCATGGCTTTACTGACGGTCTTAACAACCCCTTTTGGATAGGCTTGGGCTACCAGCGTCCAACTTTTACGGTGGAAGGGGCTTCTGCCTCTGAGCAACAAGTGGCGGTGTTTTTGGTTGCAGCAGGTTTTGCTATCCTTTATTAGCGAGCTGGTGAGAAACTTAGTCCTCTTCCGCCATGCGGTACCAAACCTGCAATAGTCACAAATCCAAAAACCGCACTTCCCCAAGTATTTTTCCAAAAAGGCTTTGAAGTTTGGTTGCTTAAACATCCAACTCCCTGCAGGGTTCTCAAGCCAGAAAATGATATTCATGCCAAGACACACGCATAGCAAGGCTACCAGCCAGGCAACGCTAGAGTTGCCTTCCAGAACTTTCACTTTCATCTTTTCATTCATTTCTGGAATACCTTCAGGATGGAGGCTGGTCCTAACAGGTGGAGTGATAGCTACTGAAAAACTGGCACAAACAGGTGACGCACCAACTCCCCAAAACAGACCTGCTCGGGTTACACTGGTGATGTCGTCCCGCAGTTGCTCATCATTGAGGTCTTGTCCAATCCCGTCCAGCAGTTCAAAGGTTACACACCAGCTATGGCAAGCTATTTCTTTGGCAATTCCTTTCTCTCCGGAGTACAAATCAAGGTAGCCGGGTCTACTGGGAAAAAACTGAGATTCAAGTTTTGAATGGAATTGGTTGACATCTAGTCTCCTAAGAAACCGCACGCAAGCCTCAGCTTCCGCAACAGTCATCTGGTGATGGCCGCAGCTGAACGCTGCCAAGAAATTCGCTACTGCAGCTTCTAGACTTTTCGCATGTGGCAAACTTTCGGCATGGTCTGTCATTCTTGATCGGCATGCCTCTCCTGTCTTCGGGGACACTGGGAGCGAACTGTCATCCCAAGCAGCCGGAACAGATTCATCATAGGAGCCCCTGGGAAAATCAGAGCAGGCTCGGCTCTCTACGAACGGAGCAGTGCTATCTGAAAAACATGTGGTCTCACTGTACAATTCAGAAAAATCAGGGAGTCCGGAAATGCTTTGAAACCCTAGTCCATTGGCCTCTAGCCATGCATCAAATTTCTGAAACTCTTGCCGTTCAAGAAGGGGCCACCAAAAAGGCGGCGCTTCAACAGCTTCCTGAACAGCTTTCCCTCGGGTTGGGTCATCTGCAGGATTCAAGCTGGTTTCAAAATACATCAGCTCGTCATACAGTTCCAAACCAAGCATATTGCCTAGAGATTTTGTCAGCTCTCGGTTTAAAGCAGCACTACTACTACGGCCCTTGCAAACAGCTCCTAGAACAACTTGGGAATCTAGGCCATAAAGCTCTCTACTGCAAGGCTTGTCAAACCCATTTATGCTTTCCATCCGGAGGAACGCTCGAAGCTCTCCTATGTTGATGTGTCTACGGCTCTTCACGTGAGTGGCAAAAACTTTGCGGTACTGCAAACTTCTGGCAAGACACTCCCACAAAGGATTAGTTTGAATCGGCTCTTCTCCTTCAGGCAACTCTTCTAATGGGTCTAACAAGCCTCTTGCTCTGAACCAGGCCTTGCCAGGAGGAAGCAACTTTGACCATACGCTCTTCTTCAAGCTATGTCGGCAAAGCTCCTGCGCGACAGTGCAAGGGATTGTCGCTCTAACCCCAGCTTCTGCAACATCTGAGGCATCAGTGGCTGAAATCCTATCCCTGAACTGCGCACGCAAATTGGCACAGGCAAAGGGAAGTAGAACTACCATCATCAGGAGCTCACCTAAGGCCCTACCACTCAGCTTGACGATCTCATCGCCTTTGCGATCTACAGAGGATTGAAAAACTGCATCCATCAAACTAAGCAATCTTCTACGGTAAAGGAAAAGAGAGACCAGGGAGCCGCAAATGATCTGGAGGAGTTCAACTGTGCTGTGTCCTAGTTGGCAAACTCTAAGCACCAGTCCGGCTAAAGGAATGGCACGGCTCAAGGTGCCGCGGCACAGCCCGCGGTCTCCATCAAAATCACTTCCCCAAAAGGTGGCTTTGGTTTCGTCTCTACATGCTTTTTCTTTGTTTGGGATGAGTTTCACTGCTGCATACGTGTTGTACATCCTATCAGCTTCGGCAGCACTGGCACTCGGCAGTGTTGCTTCTCTATTCACCTCAGCCAACGACACAAAATCATCGATCACTATCCCAGTATAGTTTGGCCCTCTGGGTATCTGTCCAGACAAAGTCAAGAGTTGGTCGCTTCTGACACCGCTGCGGAGGGCCAGGCTTAGATGGCAGGTCTGCGCTAGCCCAACAGCTTGGCTATCTCCCATAGCAAGGGTGCAAAGTGACCCATACAACTTTTCTTCCCCCCAAAATTCTTCCCGGAAGCAACTAAAGGAGGAAGCCTGACTCGGTGTAATGGGCCCTGCTAGGATATTTTTACGTGATCGCTCTTCAGAGATTTTGAAAAGATAATAAAAATCCTTCAAGTCGTTAGAGGAGGTCAGGATCTTTTGATTCGGTGGGATGTACAATCTGCAGAGGCTCTCGCTGCTAGCTAAGGATCGAACCCAACGCTGTAGCGGCTGCTCCAAGAGATTACTAGGGCGCGAATCTAGAATCAGCCGGTCATATTCTAAATTCTTCACAACTGAGAAAAGGCCTGCAGCAAACTTCGGCCGCACTGCAGAAGGTGGATGCAGCGCCAATCTGCCGCTGTGGTCAAGGAGGTTAAACAGTTCCAGCTTTTTCTCTGGGCTGCAGTGCACCTGGACAAATGGCACGGATCCAACAAAATCGCCTGGATCGAGGCTGCATTGCAAGGGGCTATTGTACACTTCGGCTGAAATCGGATCGAGAAAGGGAACTGGATCGAATTCAGGCCGACCTGTGAACTTTAATCGCGCAGGATCCACAGGCTTGAAAGTGCTGAAAGGGGCATGGTTTAACTGGCCGACTACCAAGCCCGCATCACTCTTGCTGCTACCTAGCTTAGGGCTCACGTAGGTTGTTGGGAAATAGGCTTCAACCCCTAGCTTAGACAGTTCTCTGGCAACCTGGCTGAGTTTCTCTAGCATCTCCTCAAGGCTCTCGACTTTTGGAGCTGTGCGCCCCATAGCACTAGGCCCGACTTTCTCACAGGAAATCCAGTCATCCAAAAACACTTCCAAACGACGAACAATGCTCCACTGGCTTTTGCTCAGTCGGTTTCCAGCTTTCAAATTCGCCGGACAGTTAGAAGGGCGTCCTAGGTGAAGATAGTTCAGGCAAACAATGCAACAGTTCATCATCTTTTTCCTAGACACTTCTTCTGCAGATGCCTTCCAACCCTTCCGGAAAACTTCAGGATACGGCAAAGGAAGCGGGAAACCTTTGGAAGAAGGTTCTGTAAGAGCAACACTTGGCTCGGCAAGGCCTATGGAGGAACGTGCAAACCTACCAAAACCGCATTGAGACTTAAGCAAATTTCTCATCATGCTGTTAAAGATACTTCGACCTTCGTAAGTCCCAGCTGCGGCTCCTGGCACTCGGATTGCAGGCCGGGATGGGGCATCACCATCTGTACGGTTGGCTGCACCTATTTTTTCTGCTTTTTGCTCGCCTCCGGCCAAGGCGAATTTTTTGGAGTCTGTACCTTGTGAACCAGACAAATTTTTATATTTCAAGTTTTTGGAGCCTAACCTATTATGGCACGGCAAATTTTTATATTTAAATTTTTCTGAGCCTAGATAACATTGATCGGGCAATTTTTTGTTTTTGGGCATTTTTGGCATGCAAGATGTTCCTACTGTACGGGCTAATTCCCGGCATCGGCTTCCACTGTGTCTTCCTTCTTTCCCCCGCCTTTTCCCCCTTTTGCTCCTCCCTTCGCTTTGGCTTTGGCTTTCTCCTTTGCTGCAGGACGAGGGTCTGGCTGCTCTCGCTTGGTGTCTCTGCTCAGGCGTTTCTTGGCTTCTTGGTAACTGTCCATCTCTTTGACATGGCCCAGAAACAGCTCGATCCAGCGGCTGTCGATCAAGGCTGTGTGCTGAAGGTCTTGTGGCCCTGGCGGATGATGGCCTGCAAAGGAACTGAAGGGAGCTGCTGGTTCTAACATCATGACATTGCTCAGTAGCCAGGACCCTTGGTCGATTGACGCCTGGTCCGCTGCTGCGACTAACAGAGCCGCTCTGGCTCTGGCCTGAGCAACTTCTCCTCTCATCAATGAATCCCAAATCCCTGCAACTGCCCACGTCCATCTCACATGAGACGTGTAGTTCATCAGGCGGCTCCTTGATTCCAGCCATCCTCTCGCGGTCGCGCCCGCTAGAGGGGTTCCTGGAGCAGCTGGACGACTCAGAAAGTCCGAAGCCATGTTGCTCTCTATGGACTTGTAGATGAGCTCCGGGTCCTTCACGAGGCTGTCCTTCAACAGTCTCAAGGCGGCTGCATTGCGTCGTGAGCTTCCCAACCCAGACCCGTCGCTGCTTGCACTTCCGGAGTCTAAAAGCCCTTCCAGACTCTTTTTGCTCGATCTGTTCTCGGCAAGGGCAGAGCAAACTTTCGTGAGCTTTAGCTTTTGCTACACCACCATCTCCTGGGGACCCTGGCTGCATCTGGGCGTTCAAGGATTCCTCCACTTCGGCTTCCTCGTCTTCTGAGTCGGACAGATCGTCCAATTCTTTCGCCTTGCCACGGTTCGTTGGGATGTCGCCCATGCGGTTTGGATTCCTTCTGAGAAACTCTGACATCTCGCGCAAATGCTCTTCTGGAACCCCAGCAGCCAAAGCTGCTTGAACCACGGATCCATCCAAACCTGATAGCTTTGCTGACGGTTCTAGGATCTTCACTCGATCCGCAGATCTTTTGGGAGCAACGCCTGCAGGGCGAAGGGCAGGTGGTCGTGCCTGGCTTGGTCCAGGCAAACTTGCAGCTTTGGGGGATTCTAGCAAAACGGCTAAGCTTTTCTGAATGTCGGCAAGTGTGGATTCGACAGCTCCTAGTCTCGCTTCGGCACTTGGGACTGCAGGACCTTTGGAGTCTGTCGGCGCACCTCCGCCTGACTCGGCACTGAAAAAGCTGAACCTTTCTTGCATCACTTCTACCAAGCTCTGACTGTACGGGATGAATTCGGGCAAGGGAGAACTGAGAATCGGATAATCTAAGGCCATACGATCTGGAACATCGAAATCGATCGCTGCTGCAAGTGCGTCGGATAAGAAACCTATCCACACGCGCAAATTCACTGATTCGTCTTGCATATCGCGACTCTCTGGATGGCATCCTACCACTGAGCATAGGACAGGCCTAGCAAGGCCTCTCTGATCCAGCAATCTAGTATTGACCCGCCTGCTCCAAACTTCGGCAGGAAGGGCAACCAGGAGTTTGCCTTCGGCCTCTGTGATTATGATGACTTCGCACACACCACTGCCGGCAGCTAAAGGCAACTTCCCAGACTGAAAATAATAATTAACTACGTCGTTAACAACTACGTAGTGGTCTTGCATTCGCATTGGCTCTTCAGGGCCGAGGTCAAGGTCAGCCTCGGCACCAAAATCAGCTTCTGCTTCCATGACTAAGGCAAGGTTGCCCCGGCCTCTGCAACTACAATCCTGGCGTCACTCAACGCTGGCAGTCCAATGAAAATTGAATCACCTAGATCACCTCTCTCGCCGCTGCACTCTGCTTTGGCTTCACTGAATCGATGGAACAACTTGCAAGGCTGAGTGGAAACCTCTCCACGATAGTTCCTGAACACCAACCACAGGCGGGAGCTCAGATTCAATCGGTTTCGGCCAGATGATCCTCTGTGTTCACCAGCAAGGGCCCTACGGATGAAACGGCCGATGTCCTTGCAAATGCCGGCACGGACAGCCGGATTCAGATGAGCTAGATCCGGAGGCAAGCCTTCTGGGAGAGGATACGGTCCTGTTTCCGAAGCAGCAGATACACTGGCAGCTGGGAGATCGGATTGACAACTCTGTTCCCCAGATACACGACTAACTTCCAAGTCCAGTCTAAGTGCGCTCAGCTGATCAGTCAAGTCGTCCACACGGGCGGACAACAATCGAACTTCTTCCCGCAACAACCTATTCTCCTGCTCTGCTCTGCGCAAACCAGGGGAAGCCGTATTACTCATGTAACACTTTGTGCAAAGCTCGATTGCTGCTAGGCGTTTGGTTAACAAACAATCGCCCCAAAAGGAAGCGCCTCCAGCGCTCTTTCACCACCCACAGCAAATCCAGGAAAAGGCCAAACCCCAGTCCCAGAGCAATACCAGAACCAAAAATAATCAGTTGTGAATAGTTGTCCCAGTCCAAATTCAGTTCAGGGCAATTGCACGTGAGATCAGGGATAGCAATTCCAGGTTCTGATTGAACTACCAAATGATGCAGGAGGCTGAGAATGAAGGTGGACACAGATCCGCCCACTGCCCCTACCGCAAGCTGATTAGGCATTCAAGATTGAGCCTGTTGATTCTGCGGTCAACCCGAGTCATGAGTCATGGTGAACATATATATTTACAATTAGACAACAATGTCCGATCACTTGGAGTCGGAGTTGTTGAAATCGTTTGTCGTGTAAGGCATCTCAATCACGATCCTTCGGTCCAACTCATTCCTCCAGGCCGCTTGTGGCACCTTGCCGACCCCACGGCGTGGAACGTTGCAAATGCGCAGAAATGACCTTGGAGCAACAAACAAAAAAAACAAACATTACAGAAACGAATACACAACTACAGAAACGAATACTCAACATATACAAAGCAAAAGACTATCAACATATGTAGCAAACGTAGCAATACAAAGGAAAAACACGTCGAACTGCCAAATCAAGACTTCAACTTTCCATAAGCAGTTTCTCTCTCGTATCTAACAATTACGTAATATCGTATAATATCAAGATAAAGAAATAGTTGCCTCATGTTGCCTCATCTTCTCAAAGACTCAGACGGATCATGGTGTGGGTCGACCTGGGAGTCGAATCCGTATGAATCGTATGAATCCGTGCTATGATTTCTATTGATTTCTGACATTTTTTATCATTTGTTCATATGTTTCATCATGTTTCATCGAAGTGGTCAATCCTAGCAATCCGAATCCGAGGCCTTTGCTACCAGCCTCAAGTAGGCCAGCAAATCCAACACCTGTGTAGGTTTTTAACACTCTTGAAGACACTGGTCGAAATCTGTTGAACACACTGTTGAACACACTGTGAAATTTGTATCAATTCCTCAGAGGTCACTGTACACATCTGTACACACTGTACCGGACTTGTTCATTCTTACCATTGACTTATCATTTTTTGATGTGTCGGTGCCTGAGATGTCCGAGGCCCATCTGTGACACCTCAGAATCCACTCAGATCACTCAGTCCACCACAGCAGGCTGAGCCGGCTGAGCCGGCTGAGCAGGCTGCCTTTGCGAGCGGATGGCCACACAGGCAGACCAAGTTGAGAAAGTGCCTGGCACGGGTTCCAAAAGGCTCCAAAAGGTTTCAAAAGCTTCGAGATGTTCAAAGCAAACCAAAGCAAAGATGTGTGACACATGAATATTTGTTTGAATGTCCGAACATTAATATGTCTGAGTACAGCATTTGTTTCAAACGAACACATTCAGCATTTCTCAGCATTTCTCAGCGCATCTTCGCGCATCTCAGCGCCTTTGGGACTTGTCAACCCACATCAAACCACATCAACCCACCTTGGCAAAGACCGTTGCCGACGCATTGGTCCTGGTAAGAATCGCAGAAGCCCCTGGCATGGATTCAGGATGCAGGTGCACAGGATGATGCAGGATGATGCAGGATGATGCAGGATGCAAGATGATTCAGGTCGTCGAATCTTTGCATTGTGGATATCATTTTGGTATATTGTGGTCATTTTCACCGATGCTTCCACCAATATCCCAAAACCGCAGGAGTAATAAGGACGGCCGGACCGAACGATTTGGCATCACCTGGTGCTGAAGATCTTCATACGGCGCTTCTTAGATTTCTTTCAAGCTGATCATGAAAATGCCACATTGCCACATGGCTCCCCTGTCTGACTTGTCAGGCATGGCACATGCAACACCGTCCAATGACACCTTCAATACACATAGGCGAAACAAATGCATTGATATATCATGAATATCATATCGAGATGTTCGAATAGAAGTAAATGGGCACTTGTGTGTACCATAGTTGTTGTTTTTTTAAAGCGCGTATGTGCATGTGTATATAGAGAGAGAGAGAGAGATCGATGTATAAAGTATATACTTGTACATAGCTGACACTGCTATAGACCTCAGCCTGTCATTTTCAGAGATTCACCTCGCTGAATCTCTTCAGCAACCCAGCGAGCTTCCGCATTGAGGCATTCTTTTGCGACAACAGAGACCTTGGAGAATCGAAGATATCGAAGTGTCACTGCGACATACAACTCATGCAACTGTCAAAACCAGGCATCTGGGTTGGCTCTTGGTCTCACACTCTACCTGATTGCTCTACGTCTTGGCGTGCAGACCTTGGAGATGGTACGTGGCTATGGTGATGGTGACTGTGATGGCTACTATGACTAGAGATGACTAGAGATGACTAGAGTACTTGTCTGCAGCTCCTTTCCCACTTTGGCAAGTGCCTAAGCTCCTTCTTCTCGCGATGGGAGTTGTGTGAAATGAGTCGGGTTGCAGCTTCAACCAGGTGCGGCCTTGGACATGTGGCTCATGATGCTCATGATCACAATCATGTGCATAATTGCGCATATCAACTTAAACAATAATAAAGTAATTAATGATATGAATGACAATAATACATAATATAATACTATCATTATGCTGCCAGCATTTTGGACGTGCGTTGCCAAACATTACTGCATGTTCCTACATGTTGATTTATTTCTATGTATGGCCTGGATGAACATCTGTGGACTGACTGGGCAAATGTGAAGGCCTCTTGAGCATTGAGGTTTGGGCAAGGCACGGTGGTTGGCTCCTAGAGTCTTGATGCAAGCTGAAGACCAATGCTTCCTGAAAGCCTGACACAGCACCGCCTCATACAAAGCACAACGACCCTGGAAGGCGTATGAAATTCCGTTAGCTTCTCCATCTCCATGTAAACTTGACTCAAATAATTTGAACATGTTTGAACATCACGCAACAGCAATAAATCTATAGATTTCACGCAAGCCTCTGGTGCAGAGGCACCCCTGTCTCGCCAGGCATAGATTCGTTGATCATCATCCCCTGCATCCAGCACATCCCAAACCCTCTCTCTCCCATGCTTTTCCAGTCGAGATGCTGCATCAATCTGCTTATTTGCCTCAATCGATATCTCAAAATATCTCAAAAACATCCCGGCGGACCTGGCACCGGCCCATGATTGCTTAAAAATTCTTGTTTCGCTGTGGCGCCAGCTCGATTTCATGTGGGAAACAGCCATGAAAAAAAAACATCCGTTTTAGTGTGGTTTGCAACCCTTGCAGGGTTTTGTGCTTCAAAACCCGGCGAACGATCAAAGTGGTCTTTTCTCTTCACCGCATGAGAGATCTTACAGCTTCGCCAGTGGCGGTCAGCAAGTCGAAGTCAGTGCGTTCCCATCTCCATTGGTGACTTCGAATGTATTTGAACAACAAACCATTGCGTTTTCCTTGGACTTGGGAACGAATGCTGTCTGGAATTGACTTTTTCATCAATTTCCAGTAGCCTAGCGTACCGTAGCCTCCCATCATGCGTAGCGTAGCCTCCCATCATGTCTTGCAGTAGTGACGAATGCGTAGCGTAGCATCACATCATGTCTTGCAGTAGTGACGAATGCTATCACACCCCACCCCACCCCACCCCATGCGTAGCGTAGCATCACATCATGTCTTGCAGTAATGACGAATGCGTAGCGTAGCTTCACATCATGTCTTGCAGTAGTGACGAATGCTATCACACCCCACCCCACCCCACCCCATGCGTAGCGTAGCCTCCCATCATGTCTTGCAGTAGTGACGAATGCGTAGCGTAGCATCACATCATGTCTTGCAGTAGTGACGAATGCTATCACACCCCACCCCACCCCACCCCACCCCAATTTGTGGGCCGGTAAAAGGTCCGTCTGCATAAACATGTCATATCATGTCGTACAATTACAATCCATATTTATATATATATATATATATGTGTGTATATATATATATATCCCTCTCAAAATTTTCTTGTCATTTCGCGACTCCTACGCGCCACAGCCTACGGCTGTGATGTGGCCCTGGCGGCCCAGCAGCCGAGCCAAGAAGTCTTGCTGCTCTGTATCGATGTCCTCAGGAAGCCAACAGCCACACGTCCGCATCGACAGCATTCGACAGCAGGGCATTCATGAAACTTCAAGCAGGTCACATCTGACACTCTCCTGCCATTCATCCACGAAGAGCATCTGAGCAAAGCTGGCCACCTGACGGTGATGCTTACTGATCCTTAATGAAGCGATCTGGATATTATTTAGGTTTTATACATTGCATATGCACTAATATACAATCATGATCAATCATGTCTATCTGTCTATCGTATATGTAGAGGGTGCTGGTGTGCGCTGGTTTGTTCTTGGACATCTGGTGAAAATATGGGCATTGCCAGTTGTCGTTTGTGTTTGGACCCAGGTCCTTTCCTGGCATGGCCGTGTGGGAAGTTTGGGAACTTGGGTTCTGGCCCATCTGGAGCTGGACTCAGCATCAGCTTGCTGTAGCCTATTGTCATGTCTCAAAGAGTTTCAAATGAATCCGACTTAAAAATGCTCCCTCTCTACCCTCTCTCACAGACATGAAAATGCTCTTGGCCACTCACAAGTAATACAGCGTGAACATCGAAACATTATCGAAACGATTTCAAGACTCGGTGGTGCTGCAGTACATGGTGTGGGGTGAAATGACGTACTGCCACATGCACTGCAACCTCTGCAACATCTGCAACAAGGTGCACCTTTAGCATCCATGTTGCAACATGTTGCAACATGTTGCAATACTTAAGTCACTTGTGAGGCACGTTTCGAGGCCTCGAAGCCGCTTCAATAACCTCACTGATGTCAAGCAAGCGCTGCTTGCGAAGCTCCTCACTGCAAAGCGTGGGGATCAGATTCAGGGTCACTCATTAAAGACTCTAAAAATATGCCAAAGGATTAATTTGTAGATAAGTGAATTACAGGAGCAACATAGAGCAACTGCACAAATGAAAAGAAGTTGAACGAGTTTGTTACGAGCCGGATGACAACGCGGGGATGGTCTAGACACAGTTTGATCACGGTTCCACCATGCCTGCAGGAATGCCTGGTGCGCTGTGACGAGCAGTGGCTGCTGAGATACATCCTCTCATCGAGACTCATTTTGAAGAATCATCGAGATTTTCTGATGCGAAGATACATGAAGAATATGAAGACATAGTGACATAGCCTACATAGCCAAAGATGTTCACGTCGTTTGGGAGAACGCAACTCATATCGGCCAAGTATGAAAATAAAATAAATAAACGAAAACATTTGAACATATTTGAACTTAACCGAGCCATACCGAGCCCAACTTACTCTCACCCAATGTCCTGGACCGAATTCGCCAGCCATCGGCCTTTCTGATCAAAGACCTGCGAAGCTTGGATCAGTTTGGCAACATTTGGCAACTGTCTCTCTTAGATCTTCTCATAACCAGTGTTTTTACAATTTTATACAATTTTACATGTGTGTTTCACAATGTTTCACACACGTTGATTGTGTTGATGCAGTCACTGGGGCTTCCAGCTGAGAGCAACTTTGCAACAGTTTGGCCATATTTCTTGGAAGCCTCCAATGCAGCGCCGTGCAAGATTTCCTTGACATCCCTCTTTCCTTGCTACCTCCCCCTAGTGCCTGAGCTGCATCGCCAGTCGCACTGCCCTCAGACACGACAGTGGTGTTTGTGCTCAACACAGTGGGTCCATGCGAATCCTGCCTCTGAATCTGGCAGTGCCTGCCACAGAAAAGGGTGTCAAACGACAACCAGGGAAACCTAAACTTTGTTTTGCCAAACTTTCAGCCCTGCATAGCCCTGCCTCCAAGTAGGAAAATAACTCTTGCAGCTGTGGTTGGCCCAAGACCACACCAGCAGCTGCTCGCCGGTCCTGCACAGCCAAGCCAAGTTGACAGGCCAACTTGGCAAACCGGAATTTGGTCCGGCTACCCACCCTCAAGAGCCCCGGATGGCCCCGGGCGACAGTATCACTGCTACTGCTTTCTCCCCAGAATGATGTAATGACATGTAATGTAAGAATATGTAAGAATCATATATCTCAACTCGTATTGTCATAGGTGGTCGTCATATATCATTGTCATAGTAGTGTATATCTATCTTGTATCATTTGTATCACACTGTGTCATAGAAATCCAGCTTCTCGTCTTCCTATATCTCCCTTTGCATCCCTTTGCGAAGTCTTGTCTCCTCGTCAGAGGCAGCCTTGCATGGCGCGCCAGATCTGCCTGCAAAGCAAGCGAAGCCCAGTAGCACGCGGGTGGGGTAAAAAGGAGACCCGTATAGATCATACATGATCATACAAATCTTGATCTTCCCAGATTATTGATCGTCCGAAATGCGGAGCTGCCTCCTGCTTCGCGCAAGAACCTTGCAGCAGTCAACTGTGTCTGCAATGCTTCTCTCCAATGCTTGTGGTTTGATTGTCATGGCATTCAAAGTGTGCGAGTGTAAAAGCAAGACACGCAGCCTCAACGCCAGGCCGTGCACTGTGCTCACCCAAACCTCATCACGTCAGGAAGCTGGGGGGATCTGGGGGGGCTGCGCATGGCTGTGTAATGCTGTGCAGTGGAGCGGTGCTTTGAAGCGTCACTGAGAAAACAGCTTTCGCACCCGCACCAGCGTGTTGCTTGACCCTGTGGGAAAGCTCATCTGCAGCTTTGCGAGTGTAGGTGACAGCAATGATCCCCTACCAGGGCAGGCGATCATGCAATCTGCATGCTGTTACGATGGTACACATAAAGGCATAATAAGGCATATATTGAATGTATTTGAATGTTTGCATTTAAAAAGAAAAACTTTGACACGCACAACAGGTATTCGCAGGTTATGCGCGCTGTCTATGTAATTTCGACATATGCATGCTATGCTTTGCATGACTTTCAGCCTCAGCAGGTACCGACTCAGACAGTGCTTGGCGAATCCGGGTCACCTGATTTCAATGACATAATATGGTGCTGGACTGGAGCAGTGCCCAAGACTTGGGCCTACTTCTAGACTTTGAAATCTGATTGGATCTGTCAAGCGTGTCAAGTTTATGAATTTTTAAGTGGCACAAATTGCCACAACGTAACTCAGGTCTCAGCAAGAAAGTGAGTTTTTCCGCTACCAGGTCCGGCAAGGATAAGTAACGGGCTGTTCAACCTGGCATGAACAAATAATCAATCAAAACGTCATGCATGTGGTTTGGCACTTCGTTGAACTGCATGGGACTTCTCTGAAATCAAAGTACATATCATTAAAAAATGGTGTGCATGTGTATATTATATATATGTGTGTGTGTGTGATATGATATGATATTATATGTATATGTATGTGTGTGTGTACATGTGTGTGTGTGCAAGTAAATACTTGCGTTTTTAAAGTTTTTAAAGTATACCACGTGAAAGCTTGGCGAGTCTACAGGTCAGGCACACGGTTCACTGATGGCCTCGCGCTGCTCAGCTGAGAGCGAAGAAAGATCCAGCTTCGGTTTCCTTGTTGCCGGTCGAATCTGTGAAATGCACCAATGCCATGACAACCAATGACGATGACTCCATGACAAGAAGCATTAAGAAGTCAAGAACAACAGAAGAAACACATCAGCTCCGTGCGTGTATCAAGTCACTGCAGAGACGTCTTGCTTAGATACTTCTTGCTTAGATATCTTGTGATACTTGCTATTACTTGCTACTCGCTTGTTTTGACATGCATCTTGCATCCTCTTTACAAGAATACTTATCACAGCAATTCACAACGAGCTAAGACGAGGTCTTTGCAGTTTCGGGCTGCGACATCTGGGAATTCGGAAAGTGCTTGGAGCGAGTGGGAGCCGGCGCAGCCCGCTCATCCATGCGGCCCAGTTGGATCAGTTGGGTGCTTGGATCGAACAAATCTGAGTCCTCAACTGAACCCGCTGAACCCTTCGCATCTTTCGCATCTTCCAGGGCTGGACATCCGTTGGAATTTGTCATGTCGACACGGCATGGTCCACTTGCACCATTGGACTCGTCTGAGTCGCAGGTTGCGAAAGGACTTTGATGGGAGCGCATGGCATTCCTTTCGCGGATCGCGCCAGTCACCTTCCAGAAACACTTCACAGCAAGCACTTGAAGCACGCCAATGGATACGAGTACGTGGCGTCCTCCATGCCATAACTTCAACATACTTCAACCATTTGAACTTGCAGATTAATAATGATTAATATATGGTTATATAATGGGTGTGAAATGGAATCAAAACAAAGAGAACTACAATGTCACTACAACATGTGGCAAACGTGCCGCAAGACTTGAGGGCACCTGTGGCGATGCAACAGGTCGACTTGCTGCGTGCGACTTCCTTGAGCGACCTCGACAATCTTCGACAATCACATCTTCATCAAATCTTCATCACATCTGATATGCCACCACAACGTTCAGCCTTGACAAGGGCTTGCACGCGGGACCTCGGGAGTTGCCATCACGGGCACCTTTTGGTACACAGCGTTCGTTGATGTCCTTCAACCATCTCTTTACGATTCTTTCTTATTCTTTCTGATTCTTTACATGTTGCATTCTGTTCATTTCTGTTCCATACCAAGCCATGATTTGTGGATCTTGTGGATCAGCTGCCATCAGCTGCGCACGATTCCTCGGCTCTGGCGATGGTTTTGGCTGAAAATCGGCACTTGAACTTTGTCGACTTCACCAGTCCCTGCCGGGGGCTTAAATCGTGGAGACATCAAGAGGGCACCCCAAGGGCCTCAAAATTTACATGCCACATCCATCTACATCCATCACATTATCCATCTACATCCAGGAAGAGGTTCCAAAATATTCCAAGCCTGTAGCAGCAGATAGCAAGCCCTGCTGCGCTAAATAAGCATCTATGTCTGCAAAAGGCGACCCTCCTTAGAAAGCGAATGAAACTGCTGCAGCTCACCTCCAAAGAGTCCCAACATGTCCCAACACTGCGAATAAACCGTTCCCAAAATGGATCAATATGGCATAAAATATCATGAAATCACATAAAATCAATGTCTGCTCTGGACTGCATTCCATGAAATATCAGGATATTTCACAACCTGAGCTTGGAGCGGACACGTCGCGGCATGGCCAACTGAGTCGTGAGATGTCGGGAGATGTCGGGAGTTGAGCCACAGCTGCAGCTTGCCACAGCTACAGTCACAGGCCACACGGCCACACGGCCACACGGGGCCATATGGGCCATACTATGCCATGCTTATGAAATCATATGAAATCATGCAGTTGCAAATCAAACAAGGATATACAAAGATCAAACAACACCAAGTTGAAAACCTATAAATACCTATAAATACCTATAATACCTCAGAAAATTCAGGTCATCTGTATGTCACGATGTTCATGTCCTTTTCTGTCTTTTTTCTGTCCTTTTTTCTATGCCGATAATTATGCGCTTTGTCTTTGACATGGCCCAAGCAGCAGCCAATTCAGCGCCAGGCCTGCGGAGTGGCGAAACATTAACAAAACTCGCAAGGCTCTCGACAAGTATCGACGAATGCGATGACGAATGCAATGACGAATGCATCATGATGCGCTGGACTTGGCACCGTGTGGATCGTGCGGCACCTAGAAAACGACAACATCAATTTGTGGCCGCAGCGCCTTAGGTGCACCAGCTTCGGAAAACTGCAAGTAAGTCCAAGTCCAAAGGGTGACGAAAACTGAGTCCTCCACCACGCATCAAAAAGTGCAAGTATGGCACCAGCATGAGGTGGAAAAACCCGTGTCCCCAACCTGCACCATTGCTGACCCAGAACAGTTCAAAGATGTTAAAAGGCTCCATGTGGCGCAAAAACGTTTGGTCCAAAACTGAATTCCAGAACGAAGAACATCGAACAATTATATGACTAAAACATACTAAAACATACTGATTGAAACATTAACATTGATTAACATATTAAAACATATTAAAACAATGAGTTGGATTCCAGCCATGTCCAGCCTCCCATCTTGGGACCCAGAGACTGAAAAATGCATGCAAGGCACCAAGACCTTAATCGAACTGATCGAATCTTGAAACCCGGCACAACACAAAGGGAAGTCGAAACGCTACAAAGCTGGGAATTCGACGCCGCAATCCCCACATAATTGATGTAGTCGCAACGCATGAGAACTGGTAGGGTGTACAGGAAAACCTCTGGTGGGATAGCCCCACAAATTGGACTTCAGCCCACTGCGCCATTGCCAAAGGGTCTCAAAATGTTTCAAGCTAATCTTGACGGTGAACAAAGGATACACTTGCCATACAATAGCCATCAAAATCTAACGGACGATACAACGTCAGGTGTGTCTATAAAGCTAAGATAAGCTAAGGCCACACCGGTATGGCAATGTGAGTGCTCATAATGATTGCTCTGTTTCTGAGGCATGTGCAGCAAACGCCACCCAGTAGTTCTCATGCCTGCCTCCACGCCTCTCACAAGCAGATGCATCTCTCTCCTTCTCCGGACGTTGTGTCTGTGATGTCTGTGCATCTTGCAGTCACTTGGTGTCCTTACCCTCCTTTTAAACCTCATTCAGAAAGATTGTTCAGTCAAGTTGCATGTTATGTTACTTTATTTTTTGATATTTTTTGCATGTATGTTGTGCTATGTTGCATCTTGCATGTTGCATGATATTTCAACATTTCATCAGAGCCCTCAGCAGCCCTCAGCAGCCCTCAGCAGCACCTTCCCAGGGCCAAACTGCGCAGCAACGAAAGGATGCCTTACCACTACAGGGGCAAAATTTGAGTTTCATCAGTTTCATCCATCAAATGTGGCATTGTATGCATCGTATCATTTGTGTGTATTGATGTGACGAGCTGAGCCTCAAGCATCCAACGTTGATCACTATGAGGAAGATAGTGTAGGAGATATCTCCGTGCGACTCTGCCCACCCAAAAGCAATGCAGCCTGCATTTTTTGAGATGGTAAGAGTTCTCCTAGATGCTAAAGGATGCGAAAAGATGCTAGAAGATAGACTCATAGACATTCCAAAAGAAAAACCATCGCCGTCACATCAACCAAGCTGCACAAATGGATGGCTACTAGGTCAGCGGTCCGGAATGGTGTGTTCAAGGCATCATACCCTGACATCCTTAGCACATCTTGGCACACCAAATATCCGAAAATGATAGGCACCGAAAATTCCAACATCGGAGATAACTCAGACAACCGCTCCGCCCTTCCATGCCAAGATGCCCATAGAAAGCAGCATTGGCTAGGTGGTAAGCCATGCTGACCGGACAATGAAAAAGAGTTGCATATAGCAAAGCCCATACGCCTGGAATGTGAAGAAAACCATATCATCAGACCCCAACGGGTCATGGCGGCAAAATATCCTTCAGTATTTTCATGGAAGTCCATGTGCTGCCTGGTGGAAAGGATGCGTCCGCAGCAATATCAGGCGCCATGTAGTAGCCATGAAGTGCTGGAAACAACATCGTTAAGGCACTGAAGACCTGCGGAAAAGACACTTCAAACCTGGGAAATTGCAAACATTGCAAATCATGTCCATCATCAAGTCTTTAAACGGAGGATCGGAACAAGCAAGTCGGGTTGACAAGCATGTCACACAAGTGCGGACCCCCAGCCTCTGGCCAAAATGTTTCCCCAAAGGCAATTTCTGGTTTCAGCCACCGTAGCAGTGACCATTTGGAGATTGTTTTTCTAGATGCCTCGGGGAGCACGAGTGAAGGTACCAAACACACTTCCAAACCCAAAGAAACAATATAAGAAACATACATAACTCGTCATAGTTTCACTAGTTCCCACGCCTTGAGATCCTTCAGCGAGGGTGACAATGGCCATGATTTGATTCGATGGCCTGACGATCCAGAAACAAAAATTTAACAGTGTCAAAACACAAATACATAGTAACTATAGTACAATCATAGCACAATCATAGTACAATCATAGTACAAGGTACGTTCTATTGCCACAAATTGCCAAGAAAAAAAAAAATTGGCACCAAAGTTCATCTCCCACCTGTCATGTTGGGCAGACCGCGCTGATTTGAGCCCAACGCTGACCAAACAATAAAGAGCATATGTTTTCAGTTGTCTTCCAAACATCAACAATTTCTACAGTCTTTGTGCGTTGTACGGGCTCGGGGCTGCATGGTCATTTGTGCCCCTGCATTGCTTGTGTCCCTGAGAGTGACTTAATCCTCCGCAAAATAATCAATGGCGTTTCTTTACGTTAAAATTATAGTTCCTAGTCTCTGGGGTGAACCATGTGTAGCTACGGATGGGTAGCAGCAAGTAGAAGCACATCGGAGTGTTTTATGCTGTAAATCCGCACTTTCATGCTACCATCTTATACCATCTTGAAAATTTAAAAAGGGATCAGCTATCTGCCTGGATTTGGCAGCGTGTACGCACAACGTTTGTAAGGGGACTTAGTTGATCTTAGTTGTTCACATGTCCGCACCTGCAATGCTAGATCCACACCAAAGTTGTCTTTCAATTTCCTCTGGTCACATGTGCAAACCCTTTTTGGTTGGAACACCACGGCGGCCCGTCGGCCTCTAAACCAAATCTTGCATTGTTGTTTTTATTTTCTGAATTTTCCGCCCTCCCGCCACTCAACAACCAACACCACGCGAACAATACATCCACCGGCCGTGGGCCTTACAGAAGGATTATGTGTTTTTTCGGGTATTTGATATGGTCAAGTTGCCTCGTTTTTGAATTCACGCCGGCTTTTGCAATCAAATGCATACATCTTTAAGGCATCCACCTCCGTTTACGCATAGAACGCATAGCAAATGCAAGGCCGCAGGGATGCTACGTATCAATATCCCTGAAGTATGGGTGCAACCGTGGTGGCACATTGGAAGTTGCATCCCATGCAGGCACTGATAAAATGAGCAAACACAATGATGTGAAAACCAACCTGGGAATATGTTGAAATTCATGTGCGACATTGTGATATAGTTCATGACAGAAATTGAAATAAAATTGGTGGTGCCCAGGTGCGATAGCAAAACAACTGACCCATCACGGAACTTACTGCAGTTCAACCAAACTTGATGGTTCAACCGTATGCAGGCAATGACTTTGTAGCAAAGCAGGGACAAACCCAAAGCAAGCTGCCACTTCTGGACACAGAACCTTTTTTGTCATATTATTCTACCCTGCTGTTTGGAGGCCGCAACGTGTCCTCCAAAGAATGCCATGTTTTTTTGGGTTCATGATCTCGCACTGCGAACATGAACACGAAGAACAACAACAACAACAACGACAACGACAACGACAACGACAACGACGACAACAACCAACAAATCATTGGGCATAAACATAGATACGTAGATACATAGATACATAGATACATAGATACATAGATACATAGATACATAGATACATAGATAGATAGATAGATAGATAGAGAGAGAGAGAGATAGATAGATAGATAGTTACATACATACATAAGCAAACATAATCACACATAATCATATATAATCATACATAATCATACATAATCATACATTCATACATACATTCATACATTCATACATTCATTCATACATTCATACATTCATACATTCATACATTCACTCATACATACATACATTCATACATACATTCATACACACATACATACAAACATACATACATACATGCATACATACATACATACATATGTACGTACGTACGTCCATCCAGCCATCCATCCACCCATCCATCCATCCGTCCATGTTTGCTTGTTTGTTTCCTTCCTTCTTTTCTTCCTTACTTCCATGCATACTTCCATCCATACATACATACATACATGCATACATACATACATACATTACTACTTGCTTAGTTAGTTAGTCAGTCAGTCAGTCAGTCAGTCAGTTAGTCAGTTTGTCAGTTAGTCAGTTAGTCAGTTAGTCAGTTTGTCAGTTAGTCAGTTAGTCAGTTAGTCAGTTCAGTTAGTCAGTTAGTCAGTTCAGTTAGGCAGTTAGGCAGTTAGGCAGTTAGGCAGTTAGCTAGTTAGCTAGCTAGCTAGTTAGCAAGTGAGCTAGTTAGCTAGTTAGCTAGTTAGCTAGTTAGCTAGTTAGCTAGTTAGCTAGTTAGCTAGTTAGCTAGCTAGCTAGTTAGTTAGTTAGTGAGTTAGTTAGACTAGGTAGTTAGTTAGTTAGACTAGATAGTTAGTTAGTTAGTTAGACTAGATCGTTTGTTAGTTAGACTAGATAGTTAGATAGTTAGACTAGATAACTAGCTAGATAGATAGATAGATAGTTAGTTAGTTAGATAGTTAGTTGGTTAGTTGGTTGGTTGGTTGGTTGGTTAGTTAGTTGGTTAGTTAGTTAGTTAGTTAGTTGGTTGGTTGGTTGGTTAGTTGGTTAGTTAGTTTGTTTGTTTGTTTCTTAGTTTCTTAGTTACTTAGTTACTTAGTTACTTACTTACTCACTTACTCACCCACTCACTTACTAACTTACTCATTTACTCACTTACTCACTTACTCATTTGCTTATTTACTTACCTACTTACTTACCTACTTACTTAGTTATTTACTTACTTACTTACTTACCTACCTACTTACTTACCTACTTGCCTACCTACTTACTTACTTACTTACTTACTTACTTATTTACTTCCTTACGTGTTGGTTTGCTTGCTTGCTTGCTCGCTTACTTGCTTACTTGCTTCCCTCATGTCTTACTGACATAAAAACATACATAAATATGCGCATGAATACACACATAAACACATACAAAGGTACATAGAGAAATCGGTAGAGGAATAGATAGATAGATGGATGGACAGACAGACAGATTGATAGATAGATAGATAGATCAAGAGGTAGATAGATAGATAGATAGATAGATAGGTAGATAGATAGATAGATAGATATTAGGTAGATAGATAGGTAGATGGATGGATGGATAGATAGATAGACACATAGAGAGAGAGAGAAAAAAATAGAGAGAGAGAGAGAGAAAAATAGAGAGAGAGAGAAAAAAATAGAGAGAGAGAGAGAGGGAAAAATAGAGAGAGAGAGAAAGAGAGAGAGAGAGGGAGAAAAATAGAGAGAGAAAAGGAAAGAGAAATAGAGAGAGAGAGAGGGGAAGAGAGAGAGAGAGAGAGACACAGAGAGAGATATATAAATATAGATATCGATACCGCATAAATATAGATATAACAATAAATATGGATAGAGGTAGAAAAAACATGGAGATAGGGATAGAGATATAGAACAAAATTTACAGAGATACAGATATATACATTTATACACAAATATGGATGTAGATATAGATATAGGTATATATAGATATATATATATAGACATAGATGTAGATGTAGATTTAGATATAGATTGGGGAATGCCTTGGCCTTCTTGTCTGTGGAGGCCAGAAGCTATTTCCTAAACAAACATTATTTACAGAAACTATTTCCTAAAACAACCCTCAGCTGGGAAACAATTTTGATTTTTTTCTCAAAAAAAACAATTTACAGAAACTATCTCTTAAATCATCTCAATTTGCAGAAATCAGTTCTTAAATAAACTCAATTTACAAAAATTATTTCTTAAATAAATCCAACTTTAAGAAATTTTTGAAAATATCCAACAAATTAATCATGAAAAAAAAATAAAGAAGTAATGCAAGTAGGCGTTCTAGGGATTGGATTGAAACGGTTTGAAACGGTTTCGGACTATTACCTAGCAAGTCGCGGGAAACGGTTTGAAACGGTTTCTGTGATACCCTTACTCTGCCTTAAATCATCAAAAGCAACATACATACCAATAAAGGTAAACAAAAATTAAATTGACACTTACAGACGCATTATGATATATTGAAACTCTTTGCAAATTGAAAACTAAGAAAAAACAGTGACTGATTCTGAGATGAAGAGTCAAAGAACATAGAACGAAACAGAATGAAGAATGCCTGCGCCAACAGCGGCAGCCCCTCTCCCTCGGTGAAAACATGGCTCACTTGTCTGGGGCAATCTCTGGACTTCAAGTGACTGACTGCTATCCGTGTCCAATGGTTGGGATTGGTAAAAGCAATCCTGGTTTTGTCAATTGTTTCTGGGTTTGGGGGCCCAGATTAAGAAATAGTTTTTAGGATTTAACAAGCAATTTCTGGGATTTAGGAAATAGTTTCTAGGTTTTGGAAAATAGCTTCCAGGATAATAATTTCTGCCATTTAGGACATTGTTTCCTGGATTTATTTTAAAAAAAACAGTATTTAAGTAAAATTTAAGAAACATTTTCTGGGATTTAGGAAAATGTTTCCTTTCATGTTTACATTTTAGGAGGGTTAAGCTGGCAGGCTCTCGACCAAACCGGACCCCCCAAGCTCCCCCGACAGACCTTGACAAATAGAGGCACACACCAGTCCGGACTTTTGGGGGAAACCCCCGACTTGGGTATCCACCGAGGCGTCTAAAATGCCATGTGGCGAAGGCCTGCTAGCAACATCCCCCAACTCACCCGCAAAGGCTAACAGCCACATGGTTTTGTTTGTGGAACAAGTTTTTCTGGGATCCCACAACTTGTGGGTATCGCGTGTGGAAATTCGCGGCGTTGTATGGTGCATTTGGCAAAATCTGCATTGGGACAGGGTATGTGTTTATGCTGCTGTTTGATACACCCTGTCTTGGATTGAAACAGTAAAACAACTGGTATGGCGCGATAGTACTCCCAATTGGATTCTAAATAGTTTCAAGTTTCAAGCGTCAACAGCTTCAGTGTGGTGAGCCATAGGCGAAGGAGGCTCTAATACTATTAAACTTGCATGTGCGGTAAAGACATTAGTTTTTTCTCACCAGAAACTACCATTGGCAAATGCGTGTTCCAAGATTGACCAGGTTTGCCCTGACAACATAATCAATAACAACGTTTATTTGCAAATTATTACCATTTATTACCCCTTTGATTCAAGTAGTTGTTTCTGGAAATCAACATGACTAAGCAGATTGTTTCTACATGTTCTACTTTAATTGAGAAAAGGTTTCTACATATCTTACTTATTTAGCATATGGTTTCCAGTATTTAGTCAAATGTTTCTGGTATTTGACACATGGTTTCCAGAATTTGGCAAATAGTTTCTAATATTTAGAAAATTGTTTTTTTTCACGCACCTTTTTGCTGCGTCTCACAAGATTTGACCTTTTTGGTCTCAGCTGGTCGGCCGCGAAGTGTGCAAGGCAGCAAAATCCAAAGCAGAAGTCCACCGGCGCAATCGCTCGGCGGAGTCCAAAAGTCGTGCGCCCTCACCTCCCTGGAAGTCGACTGGGATTGGTGGGAGCGGCTTCAAGTTGGGTGAGCTGGTGTCAAGGGGGGGGCAGAACCCCTCACCGTTGGCCAGCTCGTCTGCCGGCAAAGATAGCAGGGAAGCTGCGAAGGCATGCATGCCGGCGTGGGCGAAAATGGCTGACCAACGGATGATAAGGTTTTGCAGCCGATAGGGGGTCTTTGGAATTGGATTCTAGCGTCCTTGGTGATTTAGTTCTACCTCTGATTGTCTGATATATATTTTCCATTATTTATTTCTTTATCTATCTTATCTATCAAGGTAGGTGGCCTTGGTATATACTAGTGAAAATGATCCCAAAGGAAAGATCGTCTTGGGCTAGTGTCCCTTGGATGTTTCAATATATTGTTAATTCTTATCCGCCATTCGGTAATCATGCCAAGATGGGAATTGATAATTAGTGTCTCCATCCATTTACCCTTCTATTCGTGGAAGTGCCAGTCAGAACAAACGATCACCATTCGATCGTAGTTCAAATATGTGTTTTTTTTTGGGGGGGGTTGGGTACTTTGATAAAATATTAAATATATTTTCTATACATATATATATATCAATATATGCAGCCGATAGGGGGTCTTTGGAATTTGATTCTAGGGTCCTTGGTGATTTAGTTCTACCTCTGATTGTCCAAAATATGTTTTCCATTATTTATTTCTTTATCTAGCTTATCTATCAAGGTAGGTGGCCTTGGTATATACTAGTGAAAATGATCCCAAAGGAAAGATCGTCTTGGGCTAGTGTCCCTTGGATGTCTCAAGATATTGTTAATTCTTATCCGCCATTCGGTAATCATGCCAAGATGGGAATTGATAATTAGTGTCTCCATCCATTTACCCTTCTATTCGTGGAAGTGCCAGTCAGAACAAACGATCACCATTCGATCGTAGTTCAAATAGTTTTTTTTTTGGGGGTTGGGTACTTTGATAAAATAAAAAACATATTATATATATATATATGTGTATCAATATATGCAGCCGATGGGGGGTCTTTGGGATTTGATTCTAGGGTCCTTGGTGATTTAGTTCTACCTCTGATTGTGTGATATATGTTTTCCATTATTTATTTCTTTATCTATCTTAATCAAGGTAGGTGGCCTTGGTATATACTAGTGAAAATGATCCCAAAGGAAAGATCGTCTTGGGTTAGTGTCCCTTGGATGTTTCAATATTATTAATTCTTATCCTTCTTTCGGTAGTCATGCCAAGATGGGGGTTGATAATTCGTCTCTCCATCCATTTACCCTTCTATTTATGGAAGTGCCAGTCAGGACAATCGATCACCATTCGATCGTAGTTCAGATTGGTTTCTTTTTTGGGGTTGGTACTTCGATAAAATATAAAATAAAATGTTGTTATGCGACGGATGTGCGGATGCGACGGATACGGGGTCCCCCAAGCCAAAAGATCGGCAAAAAAAAAAAGCCTAAATCTCAAAATCAAGGACCCCGAATCCTCTGCGGCAAAAATCATGGTAGAATATAATAGTAGGGCTGTTTCCCAAGTCCACATGCCAATTTCTGCCCCCTGAGATCGGCAAAAAAAAAAAAAACTAAATCCCAGGGTACAACCTCTGTATTGCCCAAGTCTAGGTGCAGATTTTTGCGACCTTACTTAGGCAATACCCCACCAAGCACCTAGGATATCGTCATTTTTTTTTCCCTAACTCAGGGTGCTGATTTCTGCGCCCTGACTTCGGCAAATTAGCTATTGGACATTGCATTTAAAGGATATACGATGTAGACGTAGAAATAATGGGGGAAATTTAGTACTTGAAAAAAATAATGATAATCAGGGATAACATTGGTGGCTTTATACCAAAGGTATATGGGGGCACCGCCCTAGAAAAAACAAGAGCGTGGTTGATACCTTTTCCATTTTGATCCAGCAATTGGTTGGTACCCTTCAGAAATGGTAGTGGACCCCAGCTAATCCAAGGAATAAAATAAAATAACCGTAACCGATACTTGGATGATATCAATTTAGCCAACCAAGTGGTTGCCTAAGAGTGAACATAATAATGCACATAGAATTTTCTATGAGCATGGTAAAAACCAAATAGTTACATTAAATAACCAATGGTAAGATGATACCCATTTAATCAACCAATTGGTTACCTCATAGGGAAAATAATAAAGTACCTATAATACAATTCAATTCCATTATCATATATAAAATAGTTGGAAAGACCCAAGAATCCATTTCCAGAGAACCCAGATCAATTGCACAACATAGATATAGTATATTCTATATTTTATCGAAGTACCCAACCCCCAAAAAAAAAACTATTTGAACTACGATCGAATGGTGATCGTTTGTTCTGACTGGCACTTCCACAAATAGAAGGGTAAATGGATGGAGAGACTAATTTTCAACCTCCATCTTGGCATGACTACCGAAAGAAGGATAAGAATTAAAAATATTGAAACATCCAAGGGACACTAGCCCAAGACGATCTTTCCTTTGGGATCATTTTCACTAGTATATACCAAGGCCACCTACCTTGATAGATAAGCTAGATAAAGAAATAAATAATGGAAAACATATTTTGGACAATCAGAGGTAGAACTAAATCACCAAGGACCCTAGAATCAAATTCCAAAGACCCCCTATCGGCTGCATATATTGATATATATATGTATAGAAAATATATTTAATATTTTATCAAAGTACCCAACCCCCCAAAAAAAAAACACATATTTGAACTACGATCGAATGGTGATCGTTTGTTCTGACTGGCACTTCCACGAATAGAAGGGTAAATGGATGGAGACACTAATTATCAATTCCCATCTTGGCATGATTACCGAATGGCGGATAAAAATTAACAATATATTGAAACATCCAAGGGACACTAGCCCAAGACGATCTTTCCTTTGGGATCATTTTCACTAGTATATACCAAGGCCACCTACCTTGATAGATAAGATAGATAAAGAAATAAATAATGGAAAATATATATCAGACAATCAGAGGTAGAACTAAATCACCAAGGACGCTAGAATCCAATTCCAAAGACCCCCTATCGGCTGCAAAACCTTTGATGCGTGATGTGGTTGTCGTTTGTTGCGATGGGGCGGGGACTGCTCGTGCTTTGTGTTGTGCCAGGAAGCGAAGGAAATCTGCCGATTCCTGACTCCATCGTCCCCCCACCTCCATTCCCAGTACCACCAGTCGGCACCTGACGGACGCCAATTTTTTTTTCCACACACACTTTTTCTGCGCGAGGTCCAATGAGTCCCCCTTACTGTGCTCCGGGTGGCGTCTAAGGCCCTCACCCCAGTCGCCTCTGATTCCTGGATGTGACACTCGGTCACTTTCCGTAAAAGTCGAGCACGACCAGGCCATCGTCTTCCCCTGCCACGGAGTATGGGAATCCCCTGTCTCTCGACCAAAGGTTGTTCCCCACAGATGTCATGTACCACACCAGTTGGTCTTCGATGCGTCGTCTCTTGCCCGGAGCACCCTGCAGGACCGTCCTGGACAGCACTTGGTTTGGGGTGTGCCCAAGCTGTTCGCACACCTGGTCCGGGGGACTGTCCCAGATCGCACCACTTGCCACCAGCCCCACCCAGTCCTCCTGGGGGATGTCTGGCCAGTTCATGGTGCCAATCTTGAACGCCACGGCCCTCTTGATCTGTTGAAGCCGGTAGCTGGTCAGGTTCCGTCCCCTGCATGAGTAGAACGTCTGGGGCAGAGCTTCCATGTAACTCACGGGTCCTCTCTTCGGGTTGACGAGAAAGCCTGGCTGGCATGTCACGTCGTTGATGATGGCCTGCACCACGTTTTCCAGCGACAGGCCCCACGCCGCAAACGTGGCGACGGCCCCTTGGGTGCTCGCCGTCCATATCGCCGCCCTGAAGAGACCAGAGGAGGAAAGGCCTTCTGATAGTCCGCCCATGACGAAGGGGTCATCCACTCGTTCTCCGTCGATCACTCCACTTCCATTGATTGGTCCTTGATCCCCGCTGAGCTGGCCACAGGTCTCCATGAACAGCCCCAGGAGTTTCTGTGGGATCCACCCGTTCACTGAGTGGTCCCAGCAGACCCCGATTCGCCTGGTGGAGGCTTGGCCGTTCGGGACGGATCCCTCGTGGTTGTGGTACACCAGGCTTCAGACTCTCTAAATCCTTTAGGATGCCATTTTTGGCAAATATTTTTTTACGTTTTTTATAACTTTTTTCTGATTTGCAGATATGATTTTTTTATGGTTGAGAAAATGACTTATGTTTTTTATGGTTTTGAATACGTTTTTTTAATGATTTGTTTATGGGTTGGAAAAAGGGTGGTTATGATTTTTTTATGATTGTTTTATGTTTTTTGATTTTTTATGATTTTTTAAGATGGGAAGATGATATTTTATATTTTGTTTTTACTGGTTTTTGCTGTGTTTTGATTTGTTTTGTTATATTTATCATAAATGGTTTTGGTATGGTTTTAATATGTTTTTTACATGGGAATTGGGTATTTTAACATCTGTTTCCTGGTATATTCAGCTAAAAACTCGAGAAATGTTCGATGTTTTTATGATTTTGCTAGAGTTTCTCTAGGAAAATCACGCAAAAATCGTTAAAAAAAATCGTAAATGCATCCAAGGTCCCTAGAATCTGGTTTTCAGCTAAAAACTCGAGAAATTTTCGATTTTTTAACGATTTTTTGCGATTTTCGTAGAATTTCCTCTTCCCTGAAGTTTTTTCCACCAGAAAATTTGATTTTTACAGAGAAACTCTAGCAAAATCACCCAAAAAAAAACGAAAATTTCTCGAATTTTTAGCCGAAAACCAGATTCTGGGGACCTTGGATGCATTTACGTTTTTTTTTACGATTTTCCTAACGAAACTCTAGCAAAATCATTAAAAAAAAAAATCTCGAATTTTTAGCTGAAAACCAGATGCTGGGGACCTTGGATGCATTTATGATTTTTGTAACGATTTTTTCACGATTTTTTAAACGATTTTGCTTCCAAAATCAAATTTTCTGCTGAAAAGGCTTTGGGGAAAAGGAAACTCTAGCAAAATCTTTTAAAAAAAATGGAAAATTTCTCGAGTTTTTAGCTGAAAACCAGATTCTGAGGACATTGGAGGCATTTCCGATTTTTTTATGTTTTTTTACCCCCTAAAACCTCTTTTATTTTTTTTATGATTTTAGTACAGCCCCTAAATCATCCTTTAAGCTCTAATATGGGAGTTTAGGGGTGCCCCAAAACCATATCCAAACCGACCCATAAAAAACCCATTAAAAAAATAATTAAAAAAAACATATCCAAAACCATTAAAAAAAACATACCCAAACCATAAAAAAAAACATAACCACAATTTGAACCCATAAAAAAATCATACATGGAAATCGTATTCAAATCATAAATCAATCAAAAAAATATATTTTGAAACCCCTCCATCCTAGAGACTTAGGAACTCTGAACACCAGGCCTTTGTATGAGACGATGCCCCGCTTGCGAATCCTGGTGTGAGTGGGGAGGTCCTTTGTCACCAAGTGACCCCGCGCGTCGGTCATCATCACCACGGTCCCCGGGTTGCTGCAGAGGACGGCCTCCATGACAACGTCCCTGTAACTCCGGCCGTGCCCGTATTTGTACCCGTCGGGGGCGAAAAGCCTACCCACCACGATCGCAGTCACCCTTACCCCGCGGAGGATGCCCTTGGACACCTCCCGGATGTCCACCGGCCCAATCACCGTGTGGCGGATGGAACCCGGTGTGGGGTCGTGAGAGATCGTGCCACCCCAAATCCACGTGGCCTCATGGCGGCCACTCGCGTCCCCGAGGCCCATCTTCGCCTTGCGCAAGATTTCCTTGCTGGGGAGCTCGCATGCTGTCATGATGAGACCGCCCGGGCATGTCGTCAGAACCTCCCTTCGTGTCCGCACGCGCCTCCCCATCGGAGTCAACTGACAGACTCCAACGGGGCCCATCATTGCCTCCATGCGTGCCCAGGCGACCAGGAACAGCATCATCAGTTTGGGCAGATCCATGTGCGCCATGGTCTCCATGGCTCGATCCAGCGCCGTTCCCACCACCGTTGGCCCGTAGGCCCAGATGAGGGCCTTGACTACGACCCATGCGATCGCCAGAGTGAAGCCCCCCGCCGGTTGACCCCGGCCCCTCCGTGGAATGAGGTGAGAGTGTCTCCTCACCATTCCTACCGTCACCACTGTCATTGACTCTTCGGTGACCATTCTCCCCAGTGTCCTGTTCTCACCCCTACGGGCCGAAATCATGGACAGGGCACCCTTGAAGCAGTCTGTGACGCCCAGGCTGATGCCCTCATCGGGGCCGGAAGAACTCCCAGGTCCACAATTCTTGTCCTCGAAAACTTCCAAACTGCGGGGATTGAGTCCGAAGGTTCCTTCCATGGACATGCCTACTGCCGTCAACAGCGCACGGCTGGGCAGGGTCGTGAGACGAGCTTGAGCCAAAAATGGTTACGCCAGTAGTTCCGGGTATGTGCGTTGCTTGTTTTGCTGAGCTGTGTGTAGCGTTGCTTGGCACATTGTTTTTTTTCCTCGGTGCATTTAGCAAATAATGTCTAGTACTTAGCAAATTGTTCCCCGTATTTAGCAAATGGTCTCTAGAATTTAGCAAATGGCTTCTTCCTGTGCAAGAAATAGTTTCTGGATTTTAACAAAATGGCAAATAAAGAAACCAACGCAATCCACAAGATATAGATGCAAATATAGATATTGATATGGATAAAGGATACAGATACAGATATGGATATAAATATTGAAATAAACAGATATAAATATAAATACAGATATAGATATAGATATAGATGTAAATATGGAGATAAATATGCATATAGATTGGGTCTGGCCCATTGTCTGTAGCAGTTTTCACAAGTTAGAACACGATTTTTGCACAGAGGGGAGCACCAAAGAGCACGATCTAGAGCACGATTTTTGCACGGAGGGGAACACCAAAGAGCACGTTCTAGAGCACGATTTTTGCACGGAGGGGAGCACCAAAGAGCACGATCTAGAGCACGATTTTTTTGCACGGAAGGGAACTCCAAAAAAACACGATCCAGACCACGACTTTCTGCACGAAGGAGAACGATTTTCACGGAACCCACACCAAAAAAACACGAGCTAGAGCACGATTTTTGCACGGAGGAGAACACCAAACAACACGATCTAGAGCACCATTTTTTCACACAGGGAAACACCAAAACAGCACGATTTAGAGCACAATTTTTGCACGAAAGAAAATTGGAAAAATGAATAGATTTCGTGGTGCTCCTTTTGAAAAGAGGTTCATGGGAAATCCATGCTCCGACTGTTACAGAGGGTAGGCTGCACCCAAGATATAGATATAGATACAAAAAATGATATAATTATAGCTAGAAATATAAATAAAAATAGATCAATACATAGATATATACATACATAGATGGATGGATATCGATGTAGACATAAATAAATATAGATATAAACATAGAAATAGGTATAAATGCAGATATAGATATAGATACAAATACTGATATAGATATGGATATGGGTACGGATGTGGAAATTGAAATAGGTATAGATACGAAAATTAAAAAAAAATATATATATATATATATATAAATACTATATAGACACAGCTAAAGTTATAGATATGGACATAGACATGGATACAGATACAGATACAGATATAGATATAGATATAGATGTAGATATAGGTATAGATAAACACAAAGATAAATGTAAATATAGGTATAGATGTGAATATAAATATAAAAATAAATATAAATATAAATATATATATAAATATAAAAATGAATATAAATATAAATATATATAAATATATAAATATAAAAATAAAAAGAAATATAATTATAAATTGGAATGATCATGGTAGCGTTAACACTCCTAGGGTTTCATGGTAATTTTTTGGTGGCAACTACTTGGTGAACCTTTGACTGCGCGGGGAACTCGGCCTGCTATTTCTTGCCCGGGAACCTTTTGGTGCGTAAATTGACCTTGATACACGACGCGTGTTTTCTGGTGATTTTTCCGTGGCAACAACCCTTGGCACCTAGACATTGAAATGATCATGGTAGCCGGAACGAAGCGGGAGCGGAGCGGGAACGAAGCGGATTCGATGATTTCAACGTTTTTTCACGGTTTTCCATTGTTTTTTTGCCTGCCGCTTCGCTCCCGCTTCGCTCCCGCTTCACTCCCGCTTTCTTTTTCTCGTGTTTTTTAAACGTTTTTTGCAGTTTTTCCAGTTGTTGTTTTTTTATTTTTTGCATTTTTGAATATGTTTTTTGATTTTTTAGACGTTTTTATATTTTTTTCCTGGAATTGTCTCGTTTTTTTGGACAGGATAGCAAGTCTTATGAGTAGCCCCGTTAGGAGTAGCCCAGGGTTCTTTCATCAAATGATGAAATGCTAAATATTTTTTTGACATCAAATCGTATCATTATATAATCCGGCTTGATCAAATGCATCACAATGTTGAGGTAAAATCATATTGAAAACATCAAATGATCACGATGTTGGGGTAAAATCAAATTGAAAACATAAAATCGTATCACAATTTGATAATTCATTTCGATATGTATACTTCGATGGGATCAAGTCCAGCCATGCTCCGATCACCACTTTTGATGGTATTGTTTTTGAAGTCAAATCCAGCCATGCTCTGATCACCAGGTTTTGTCAGTTCTAACCTGGAATTTCCAAGAGCTATGTTAACGCTACTACGATGATAGCAAATTATAAATATAAATAAAAATATAAATATAGTTGTAGACATAAACATACATATGAATATAAATATAAATAGAAATATAACTACAACTATACTTGTAAATTTGAATGCAAATATAATTTCGGATATGAATCAAAATTGAGATAGAGATAGATAGAGGGACAGGTGGATAGGTAGATAGATAGATAGATGGATGGATGGATGGATAAACAGATAGACAGTTAGATAGCTACACCAAAAAAAACGATAACTCAACATATTTAGAAAAAAACGATCGATCGAGCGATGAAACCGATGAAAAATGTCAGAAATCTGAACCAACCGGTTTATGTCGCAGAACATTGCATACGACAGACCATACGCAATGCTTACGCGACCGCGATTTTGACTTACGCAGCGTGGATGTACATAAAATGATTTATGCAAAATTTACGTTGACATGTTTCACTTAAAATGGATAGGCAGTGCTCGCACCAAAAAAGTAATGCTTACGCCAAGGTTTACGCATTGTATTTTGCAAAGGCGTCTGACGCCACCTTAGGAACTGATGCGACCCACTCATATGGCACATCTTTTCTAGACTGTGCGCATGAGGTTTCTGAGAATGCTCAGGTAGATAGGTAGAGAGATGAAGGGGTAAGAATACAAAAACAACCAACTTCACTGAAACAATAACGAATTGAAAAACCACATGCCAGACCAAAATTGAAATAAAAAATGACAATAAAAAATGACGAACAAAATGACATGCCAAAACCACAACCCTGTCTTCTGTGTGTAAAAACACCCCCCGCGTCATACATTTCCATCCTGTGTATGAAAGGTAGGAGAGGGGCAGGTGGCAAAGGTCGGCGACGGAAAGAGGTGTCAGGAACGTTTATACACTATGATTTTCGATTGAATGAGACACGTGGGGTACCTGTCCTGCAGCGGCTGAAAACAATATTTGGCAAACCCTGTTCCTTTGAGGGGCAAAGTGTTACTATGAGCGTAAGAGCTATCAATTCATGGCTAGCTAAAAAAAATTAAATGTATGAAACATGGGGGTGACTCTGTCCATTTATTGTGCTAATCTGACTGGCACTAGACAATTTCAAATGTATAGAATACAGGGGGGATTGGGTTGTTTTTTGTAAAATTCAACCTCAAAACCTGACGATGCCCTTCGGTTGGTCACCACAGTTTCTTTCGATATCGGGCCACAGAATCAATGAGGCCCAAACCATTTCCAGTCGTTCTCTTTGCAAAGGCTGCAATCTCACGAAATTTCGAAGTTTGTCGAATGGTTCGCAGAAAACAGGACGGCTGCGCAGTTTGTCCACGATGTTTTCAAGCTTGTTGCGTTTAAGTTTAGAGGCAAAGATGCAGAGCATCGCACGGCAACATTTGGAAGCAACAAGAAAAGGTTGTATGGCAGAAATAAAGCAAATTGGGAGGGAAACCTCCCGTGTTTTGAATAGTAGCCTCAAAACAATTTCCATGTATAATGTCAGTGCGGCGTGAAGCTGCTGACCGCCCAGGTACGTACTTCATGATACTTCATCTGCACCTCCCCCTCCAAATCTGCACCGCCTGGTGGTTTCTCATGTTTTCGCGAAATTAGATATCAGCAACAGGGGTTTCAAAAGCGTTATGTTATTTCTGAAGGTTCGCACGGAAAACTCCATGAGCATGAACGATCCATGGCCTTGCAAAATCAAGTTTCTGGTACCAAATACTGAATACTTATTAATCATGTATTAGGAGGACCCCCCCTAAATTTTACCCAACAAAAATCATACAACAAATGCTGTTCCAGAAGAAGGAGGAGTGGAAATGTATGAAAAATGCCCTGCGTCCCCTTCTTCAATATACTTTTTAAGGGGTAGGGGGATCCAAAACCGAATTGACAAATGCAAATTTTAAAAAAAATAACTAAATACATACGTAAATAAATAAATGAATAAATATGTCATTCATGTCGTGGTATCGGTGCAAGTTTTTACACCCGGGCCGCCATGCAGTTTTTTAATGAGTCAATCACATCGTGCCGTTCGGTGCCGAAAACTAAGGGCCCCCGCATTTGTAGCAACACGGCTGTCCCAGAAGCAACACTGGGTTCATCAGCGGGTTTATGCAAGGGCCCCTTTTCAGTTTCAGAATGTTGCCTGCTACGCAACGAGTGTCTGAAAGCAAAGTCAGACCCCAGTCCACTGCACAATTTTTCCGCACAATTTTTCCAAATAATAATTCACATTTGAACTCCGAAAAAAAAAACTGAAAACAAAATCAAAAAATATGTTTATGTTTATGCATGTGTGCCCGTGCGCGCGCGTCCGTGTACGGGTCCGTGTGCGTGTGCGTGTCCGTCCGTGCGTGCGTGCGTGCGTGCGTGTGTGCGTGAGTGTGTGCATCATGCATCTGTGCGTCTGCGTGTCTATGTGTCTGTGTGTTTGCGTGTTTATGTGCAAATTTGTTTTGCTTTTGTTCGTTCTGAAGGAGCGGGTGTTGGACTCCAATGTATTGTTGCTCTATGCGTTGTCGAACCCGTGCGTCTGCGTGGATATGAATTAATACACAATATTGCCCGGCGCCTTCAAAAAAATGATAAAAATGTAAACATTCCATGTCTCCAAATACGTTTTATACGTTTTTCATCGTGTTTCCCCTTTTTTTGTGACCA